CTTCTCAGATCATTGTTACAACACTGCCAAACAACAGACAATGAAGATATGGAAAGAGATTGGCGAGAAATACATGAATTTTCAGTATTTCACTGTGGACAATAACCCAAACAATGTCAGGCGATCATTCAGATACGAAAAATTGAAGGACTGGTTTTCTGAGGAACAAATAGAGAAAAGCTCTCAAACAGAAAAGAGAGAGTCTAGTGAATCAAATACACACGTAATCAAGGAAACAACCCAAAACTCATAGTATTGTTTTGATTAGCAGTTGAAAAGTGTGATATTTGTCAACAGTTAGGTGTGGAGTTATTGCTTTTGTTTAATCTGATATAAAAAGGATAAGATTTTCTTGAATGTTTTGTTATTATATGTATTTGCTCATAAAATGGTACAGCTGCTTCTATAGTATAGCAAAGTCTATGTTTTGCTATGAGTAAAGTACACATGTATTATTTTTGTCAGATCAAAACATATGAAAGGAGATGCACAAATGACACTATGTAGGTAATAAGATTCTGTGAAAGTATCTTAAATTTTGTCCAATGGTATAAGAGGAGTTGTGGAAAAAAGATGGGTACCCTCAATATTATAGAAAGAATAGCACTGTCCATGATTTGCTATCAGAAACCCCAAACGTCTGACCTTACTGTAAAAGAGGTGCATTAATCAGTAGTAAAGGAGGAGATTTAAATAAAGGATGGCTATTCCCAAGCATAATAAACATATGGATGGACACCCCCTTCACTATACCCCCCTCCAACCTTTCAAAAAAGTAGAGATATTAAGATGAAAATTCACAGCACTTATAATTACACAGGTATCAAACGAGACAGTTATTACTGTAGCATAGATTCAAGCCTGCCAAAATCATGATCCCTGGGGCAAGAGTGGGTACTTGTATTATGTTGCACTTTGATTGAAAAAAAAAATGGAATGGACAGTTTGTTTCTTTCCAAGCATTGTCATGTATTGTAGATATAGGCTGCTATTTTCTTGTCCCAAAATGTTTCCCAGAAATGGGTCAAATTTTGGTATAGGATTTTATAGAAAAAAGAAAATTCTATTTGAAACAGGATAACTTTTAATCATAGAAAAATGATTCAAGAAGAACTTATTCAGTTTTGTTCTGTTTGTGACTCCTGATAGATGAGGCCTCAATACCTGGTAGGTCCAAACCTTTGGGGTTTAAGAAAAAATGTCCAACTAGAAACAACAAAACTTTTTATAACTAGCTCTGAATCTGATGGGACAAAAAAAAAGGGTTTCAAAGCATGGGTGGTTGGGTCCGGACCCCTGATATTTGCAAAGTTATTAAATGTAAATATACTGAACCAAGTAAAAGTGAAAAGTGACCTTGACCCCCCCCCCCTTTAGAAAACGCAGACCCCCCCCCCCCCCTTGAAAACGTGGATCTATGTTAAGTTGGTATGCAAAGATATACATGTAGGAATAAAGCTTTAAAGAAGTCACCTCACCTCGAAATAGGTTTTTTACGGCTTAGGGAAGTAAGTTTAGCTTATTTTTGGGTTGGAATTTTTTTTTTCAACTGGGTACCCCCCCCCCCTCCTCCTGGAGAAAAAATTCTGGATCCGCGAATGCAAAGTATTACATGTACATACAATATCCAGAGATGGACGAAGGGGCCTAATTTGTTGAACAATTTCAAAAAAAAAATTTTGCTATATCTATGTACATTTACCTCTATGCAATACATTAAAACATTTTGTTTCACTTGATATAGGAATGCTGCCATAAATGTGTGTAAACTCTTAGTATAAAATGCTCATTTGTCGGGGAAATGTGCCTAAATTTTGTCCTTGTTGATGGGTATATAGGGGTAAAATCAACTACAATTAATTTACATTCAACAGAAATTGACAACGCATTTTCTGTCAAGCTGTGCCATTTTATTACAAATTATGGAATTTAACCTGATTATGTACTACAATGAAACATCAAGAAATGTGAATTTAAGCTTCAAATATTTGCAACACCGTGTCAAACCCATAAAGAGATTGTAAGTACGTATTGAAATTCTAGTTAGCTAAAGTACACGTTTATTGTCGTTGTACTTTTAGTTGTGCTTTTTCTTACAAGGAATCAAATTTTTCTTGTTATAAGAGAGGTTTAAATATAAGCGATGATAAGAATTAAACAATGTCAATCACCCCACCTAAAGTTTTCTATCGTGCACTTTAAGAGTATATAAGAAATTCTGTGAATAATATTAACTGCAGAAATCAAGATGACCAAAAAAATACCAAGTTATATAGATTTCTTAAAGCTGATCAAGTATTAAAACTCAAGGGTTTTTTTAAGATATTGAAGGGGAAAAAGTACGACGGTATTGGAGAATTCTGAAGATTTATCTTATTTCGCCTATAATGCGAGGTTTTTCTGCGTCTAGGGACCATCTTTCTGATAATTTAGATATTACAGCCCAAAATAGAAGTGGAACTGTAGCATAATATGATTTATTTCTGCAAAATCTCTGCAGCATTTGCAATGCGAAGTAAGAATTACATCCTGTTAAAAATCTAGAGGATTAATAATCACTATAATTAAAGATTGAGGATTCGCAGTAGATAAATGTCAAAGTAAACTAATGCAGTGTTCATAATGTGAATTAAATTGCGTTCACACGACAGTTAATGCGAATTAAACTAATGCGAATTAAAATTTTACTTTTATGCAGTCAGACGTCATTTGAAAATCACGTCACCTTATGCAGTAGCAGATGCATTTGACATAATGCCACAGTGTCTGTACACACATTTTAGTGATTAACATATTTTTCCTCAGTTTTTCACTCAAAGTAGCTCAAGTACTCGAAGCTGACTTTCAACATGTGGAATTTGACTTAATTTTGCCACTACGCATGCCTCAAAATTTAATTCCATAATTGTTTCACACGGAGTAGCTGTAATTTAATGCTCAGTAAATTAAGGTTCGACAATATTTGCATTTGCAACTGCTTTCCTTTATATAACACTACTGAAAGCAAGCGTTTTTATAACTGTATAAATACAGGTATTGGGCAGTTAAGTCAACTTTTTGGATAAACGTTCGACGTAATCTCTCTTGTCATAAAGGATCGAGTTTTGTGGATTACAAACATGCAGTAGTTTGAAAAATAACTTTTCGCACGTTAAAAGTAACAATCAGGTAAATTTAAAGTATGAATAAGTCACAAATGTAAATATACATAAAAGTACAATTTAATTATTATTTGCAATACAGATCTTCATGAAACTTTAACTACTGCAGAATTTCAATAAAATCAAAAAAATTATTTTCATTTTTAATTAAACTAATTCGCATCAAATTCTCTCTGTGAACGCTTCAAGCGAACCTAATTCGCAGTAACTTTACGTTGTAACATCAGTGTTCATTATGTACTTTACTTCTTCTATAATTGCTATACACCCTCACCCGCACGAAACAGGATTTTCATGTTTGGCCAAGTGTGATTTTTTTTCTTGTCAAAAATAATCCGAGTCTGATATTGTTCCACCTAGCTTAAAAGTGCAAATCCACCTAAATTGCTAAGTAACTGCAGTCCATAATTGTTTACTAGTAGCTGTCCATTGCTCTGATAAGGTTCGACAAATTGCATGTAACTTTTCCTTGTTTTATACATATCCTTATATCTTTTCCCGATTGGGCAGTTAAGTCAACTTTATGAACTATACAATCATAGTTTTTGTCTTAAATCGTTTTGTAGTTCTACTTACAGTAGTTTGATGCAGATTGGCTTTTCCCCCTAATATGCCGTATTCCGATCAGAATTAACTGAACTTTCATGCACATAAAAGTACAATTTAATTATTATTTGCAATACAGATTCATGAAACAACTACTGCAGAAGTCAAATCAAAATTATTTTCATTTTTTCTAAAGAAAACACGATTGTTTAATTTTCATCTATTCCAGATTTTGAGGAAAATTGGATCAATATGATCATTGCGGTAATTATCAATATTCAATGGAATAAGTACTCCACGATTTGTTACAAAAATCGTACGATAAACGCTTAAAAGTGCAAATTAAATTGCTAAGTAATTGCAGAGGGAAAAATCTTCGGAATTTAAAGATACACTTACATTGCATAACTGACAGAAATGATAATTTCACGCCCGATTTCTGTCCCAATGGTGAAATGTACTTTTGACAAAAAATGACTCGCATATCCCAGCTGATGTTCTAAATCCGATTTTTTAAGAGGGACGTGATGCAAGAACTCATGGATATGTCGAAAGATTACATCCCTGTTGAATTTAAAGTACACGTATATTAACCGTCACTGACACTGCATTTTCTGAATGATAGATCCACAATATAGCTATCAACCATAAATTATCCTTACCCTAGTGAAGCTGATCGACGATGGTTTAATTAATAAGCATTCACATTTATACTTCTAAATTACTACAGGTACAAATAAGTAAACATTTTTTAAGGGAGCAAAATTCCCGTTTCATAATTAGGCCATACGACCAGTCGTAACTCTACGCCAGCGTAAATTCAGGACTAGCCCGAAGATTGCGTTTCATTAATTTAAGAGGATATCTATACCCGGACTAAAGTTAGGTCTACATTTTAATTTTACGTCTAAACTCTTGAGTAGGCGTAATATAGCGACTTTTATCTATGATTTAAAAACAGTTTAGCTATTTCTAACGAAGAATTGCGGTTCTAAGAAATCTTTTAAATAGAAACGATGTGTAATTTCATTTTAGGTATTGTAAATGGACTATAAGACATAGTTTCTGTCTCATTGGTGAAAAGATGCCTTATCTGAAAAAAAATTGATCAAGTTTCTTATTGACGATACACATGTGTTTTTTGGATTCCATGTCTTCCAACAAATGTATTGGAAATCCCATGGGTACCAATTGCGCCCCGTTATTAGCAGTCCTATTTTTGTATTCATACCGTATGTAGCAAAATTGCGGTGAAAAGAAGAAAACACTCGCTGTGGCCTTCAACTCGACATTTAGATATAGTTATTTCCATTCCTGTGTCGATACGATGTATTCCGGTGAGCTTGAAATAAAAGATACCACAGAATCTGACACATCTGTTTCATATTTAGATATATTACTTGAAATTTTTTTTAGCTAACAACCAAGCTTATTGATAAACTTGATGACTTTAACAACTATAATCGTCATCTTCAAGGCCTTGTTATCATGTTGTAAATTTTGCATTTACCTCCCCTAGTAAATTCAGAATTTACAACATGATATTTGTATCTCCAAAGGTGATTCGAAACGCAAGAGCATGCGTCTGAACAATATCTTAAACGAGGCAAATTATTGACAAACAAGTTACTGATACAAGAATATCAACAGTCTCGTTCAAAGTCATCATTTCTTAAATTCTTTGGTCGAAACAATGACCTTGTCAGGAAATACAATTTATCAATGAGTCAAATGCTGACTGACGTTTTTCATACTAGATGTACTTTCACACTCAATTGTCGACGGATTTTTCCGTTTTTTTTTAGTCATGACAAGGAGCACAAGGCGGGTGTGACCGGCCGGCAGGGGATGCTCACTCCTTCATGGCACCTGATCCCACCCTCCAATGTTTTGGAGGTCCATGTTCGCTATGCTTCTAATTTGTATTGTTTAATGGACTTCTGAGCTTGAATACTGTTCGTTATATCATGTGTTTAAGTCATCTTAATACTTGCAGTACTTACTTTATTCTATAGAACATTCCAAAATGAATATGGATACTTGCTTAGGAACAAACGGCATAGGCGTCGGAAGCAAATTAAAAGTGGAGGGGGTCTAACTGAAATGGGGGCGAAAAAAGGGAAGTCCCAAATTTCAATACTTATATTATGTCTATCTTTGAAAAAAAGTGGGGGGCTAATATAATATACTGTAGTTAAATAATATTTTATTTTGATTAGATCTAAAAGATCCATATTAATGCATGTTTAATTTTGCATTCAAGTAAATTGTTATATACCGTATACTGTTACACATTGTACACATTATGTATGTACATATATTATACTTTCATGTGAATTAGTTAAATCTGATTGGTCGAGAAACATTTCTTAAAAAACAACTGTTACCCGCTGAGTAGTGAAGCCACGCCCTACAGCGTAGCAACAGTCAACAGTGCTTGACGACGGGTGATATTCCAAAAATAGACAATTTATGCGCGCACGGTTCACTGTTAAATGTATTTTTTTGCGCAAGTGCAATACTGCGTAGTCAAAGTCTAAATCTAGAGACTATGTGAAACTGATGCAAAATACGACTATGAGTACGCCCAGGAATCCACAACCTACATGTACGAATTTTTAATCATTTACGGACCCCAGGATTTAGCAGTTTAGTAGCGAATTCACAAACTTAATATTATTATCACATATCTGAAGATATGGGCAATCTGCATGCCTTGTTACCAACTCATTTATTTAAGAGGTCGCCTTTGAGATGTAAATAAGTTCTTAAAAGTAAATTGCATATTTTCGTTTATGTAATTCACACTCCATTGGTATATATACAAAATTTATTATACACGTCGAAATAAACACAGGCCTTATGGATTCTATACTATTATGAACATCAGCATCCATAAAAAAGGTCTAAATGCTAGTCATGAGTTATTTGACTAGACAAAAACAATCGACAAATCAAATGAATCTTCTCATACTGAAGATCTTGGTTGATCCAGTAAGAGAATGCACAAGTTCGAACTTATACAAGAAATAATTTTGCACTCTTAGTTATAAATGATGCTTTTCAGTGGAAGCATAGGGATTGCTTGTGTAACCAAAGATTCTAAAAATTAATCTTACTGGCGCATAAACAAAAAATAAGCAAAATTTATTGAAACATTTAAAATACTTTGGTGCATTGGTGTTGGAAAAAGGGACAATCATAAAGTAAAGTTGTCGTATTACGACCTCTGACCTCCGTATGGACAGTCAACCAATCATATTGCTGTGTTTCTCGGTGGGTGGATACCAGTGTGTACATTTAAACAATGAGATCTGAGCCACTGGAACCAGAAAAGATTTGGTTGTTAGAAGCTGCTTCAAGGCGAGGTTTGAAGATGAAGGTAACATTTCACCAAATACATTTATTTTCTAATGTTCTCAAAATTATGTGATGCAGATATTTGTTAACAAAAAAAAAAGGAGATCCAAAACTAAAGGAAATTAATTTCCCTAGATATGGGCAGTTTAATGAAAATTTTATCCATAGATTTAAAAATATTCACAAATAATTTTTTTATTAAAAATTTAAATGTCTATCCAACCTTTCTTTACATATTTTATAACCTATTCGTGTTATATGATGCTTTAATAACAGAAAAAATTAATTTAACAAAAAGAATCTCATTTACGATTAAAACTTTTTTCATATTCTTTGAAAAAAAATAATTAAAAAAATCTTGTAGAATAATAAGAGCGAATATATCGACATTTCAATGATGAAACTATAACAGTTAAGTTGGAGTGAAGTTTTCTAAAAACATGAAAAAATAACACATTGTTAAACTTTAATTTATAAAACGGTCTTTATTATAAAATATACAGTGTGAAAAAAATTATAGACACTGAATTGTTAATTTTTATCATCTTACTGCCGTCGTCAATTTCAAGATATATTAGGGAATGCTTATTCCTGATCTGGTTTTCTGTGTAGAGGTAGAACTGTGTTTGCGCTGTTCCAGAATGGATTGTTTCAATGGTCGATTGAGTTTGATTACCATCGGTTATTTACATATTTTAAATCAAGAAAGCAGGTTTTCTTTTATCAGGTGTTTTACCTAAGTTCCATGTGATGTTACTGTATTCACAAATCTTCCCCAGAAAATATATATACATGTATGCAGGCGCGGATCCAGAAATTGAAATTAGAGGGGGCGCCAAAAGTAGGCAGGGGGTCTGGGGGCCGCCTTGAGACACCTTGTGGATCCAGGGCAAATCCCTGGTGGGGCCCAGGGAGCGAAGTCCCCGAAAGCTCCTGGATTCTAGAGTTTTTGTAGGGTAAAAATGAGGTCTACCGAGTAGACATTTTTACATTTTACCGACGAAACTATGATTTACGCTAAGTTTGACAATTTTAAGGGTGCGCCCCCCTTAAATCCGCAACTGAATTATGAAAAGCTGTACTACTTATTTTAACGCATTTTTCAGATCACTACAGAATTAAGCGGGAGTCTTTTGTTGATATTCCTGATGATTGTTCTGTCTGATGGCGCTTTGGTCGATTTTCGACGTTTATGCCAGCCCACTCAGCAGAGTTTCGGATTCCGCCGGGACCCGTGGCAGAACGAAGTCATTCATTATTGTTTTAAAACAACTCCGCCCATGAGAAATGAGGAGTGTCGAGAAATAAGTAAGTGCATAAGTATTTCAATTTAAAAAAGGGGGTGTATCGATGATACACACGATGAGTAGGTGAAGTGAGGCTCCCGTCGCCTCCCGATAATTTTAAGTCGATTATTGGAATTTCAAATCTAAACGTTAAAAAACGTTTTAGAGAGGACTGACTGACTGAAAATGAAGAAAACATGCATGTTTTATTTGCACATATGTTCCAGGGATAAAAATTTGCTATAAAATTTGCTATTAATAAATACACAAGTTAAAGATCTAATAAAATATGTAAAGAAAGCCAGATGGACATTTAAATTAAAAAATATTTATGAGAATAAAACATAGGTTTTTTTTAATATTTCCAAAATCTGTAGAATTATGTAATATATTTTAGAAAAAATATGACACGGCTACAAAGGATATGTTAGAGACAATCATTTCTTTAAAAAATGTGAAATATTTAGAGAAATTATTTGGACAATCCCGATTAGAAAATTTTGATAATTGGAAATAAATATTAAAAATTATATAAGAAAATAATAATTATGTTTCAGGTTACGAGCAAAAAGAAATTGAACTTGACAATAAAAATAGATTTCTCAAGGGTTAATATATAAAGAAGACAATAAATTATGTTTTTTTATCTATTTTGTGGTAATTTGGACTGGGATCCTGCATTTTAATCCAAAGGTTTCAAAAATACTCATAACTCAATTTCTCATTTCCATGCAAAAGGTTAAAATCACTGTTTAGCTTAAATTATGGCTACTTATATTAAATATTTTTTGAATCAACAAATGAATGAAAATACAAATTTTTTGACAATATTTCATGAACTTACGTATACCTTTCAAAGAGGTTTCTTTGCCTTTTATTTAACCCAGAAAAAAAATATAATTGGAATTTCACACAAAGAGTTATCAGTTTTCTGTTACATTTTCTAAAATTCTAGTGCATAAATATAAAGTTTCAGTACATTTATATCAGACTTTGACATCTTATAGAGTTTTTATAAGTAACTTTTACTTGGTAAGTCAGCATCTTTACGACCCCTGCTCCACATGACATCTACTACTACATGTAGTATTCACTATCTTAGCCAGTAAACAGAATGACTACTTATCATGACGAACACACTAGTTAAATTACCTAGCTATTTCTTTCAGTGTGCAGGAAATTCATAAAATATAACAACAAATCTTTAAAGGCAAAATAGGAATATATAGAATAAATTAATTGTCTGTTTTTTTGTGAACAAAAAGTTTTTTAGACTAAGGCCGCCGTGAGTCTGAAATTGGCGAAAACCGAATCTTTTGGAAAATGTATATTGATCAGGGGTTCAACCCCCCCCCCAACCCCCCAATTTGGACTCATCGAGAGTCATCGTTTTTGTAATATCTGTTGTTATTTTTGTAAAACTGTGGGCTGTAATGCCCCCAATTTTATTCTGAATAAACTTTATTTTAAACAAAGGAAACGACCTAAATTAGAAATAAATCGGATGATACTGGTATAAAAATCTTTTATGGCGCATTTTTATCAAGTTTGTATTAAAAATTTTCAAATTGGAGGCAACTGAATGCGACACAACAAATCAAATCAAAATTCTACAGTTGCTGAATGGCATTATTGGAAATTGGTCTCGTTTAAAAGTTTACAATTTTTAGATTTAGATAAATCTGCAAGGCCGTTACTAGTATTCAGAACTGTAAGCACCAACTAAAATAATTATTTGAAAAATGTGTTTGTTTCCCATAGATGCCATTGGAGGATTCGACTGTGGAGAAGAATTTTACTTACAAGGTGGACTTGAGAACCAGAGGGCCCAATGCTGTCGAAAGGCTGGTGGGTTTACTTATTATATATTGGAGGAACGGGGGTTATTAACCATTTAGCTTTAACCGATTGTTAAACAAAGCACGTTGAGCATGGCACACGCATCGTTCTTCCTAAGAACACTGCATTGTATTAAATTGCCTCTTTACATCCCTTGTAGAATTATGAAAAGGAAAACATCGATGTTATCAATCTAATAAAAATCCATTGCTTGGTTTGCTTTCAAAGATTCATATCGCTAAGTACATTTTATTTCGTTATGTTTATGGTAAGCATGGAATTAGAGAAAAACAAATCGCAGGGATGAACTTCAATATTTTGAGTGCTTTACTATTACAAATTTGTAATACATTTTTTTAAAGATAATTATTATAAATGATAAAAAAAGTATATAACAAAACACAGACCAAATAAGCTTTTATTACATAATTACTAAATACAAGAAAAAAGCTAATCTTCTTATCTTTTTATTCACAGGGTACAGAATCGCTAATTGCCAAACCGTAGCGGAGACGTTCTCTTACAGGGACGGGTTTGACATTATGTATGTCAACCGCGCACTTCGTAATCTGACCAGGTTATACTTTCACTTATGTACATATATCACTGTACTAGATATTGGGTGTTTCAAGTTTCAATTATTTGAAGTTACATTGTATAAGATATTTTTGCAGACCCCCCCCCCCAAAAAAAAAAAAAATTAAATCATTTTAAATGATATTAATATTCTGAAGGCTCAGTATATTTCAGCTTACAATACATGTGTCTCTTCAGTTTTATTTTTTCTTCTCTATCCCTAGAGATGTTTTAATTTTTTTTTTTAAAAAGTTTTTTTTTCTGTATATATATTTCTAGTACCCCAACCTCATCCGACCCAACAGCTTTCCAAATTGAGTTGTGTGACTTGGAGAGAGAGGAGTCCAAATGAAACAATAATAACATGTCAATTAAACTGATCATATCTTCATCATTATGGACTTATAAGTATCGAACGTATATATATGCATGTATATTCAAAACTAATAGCTCTGTTTCTTAGTTTATAATCAAGAATGTTTCCATTTTAACCAGTGTTATATTCTCAGAAATATTTGTACACTGTTATCTTACAGTTTTTGATATTTTTAACTTTTTATATCTTTATTTTATTGTAAGTAAATTCGTGCATGTAATATTTATAGCGCTCATGAAAATTTTTATGTGTCGTCACAAATTTTTCTGAAATTCTATCTTCTAATTCTCAAGAAACAGTCGGCCTATTTGAACCAACTTGGCACAGAGTTTACTTTGGTACATAAAATTTAAGTATATTCAAACGAATGGCCACATCCTCTTCAAAGGGGATATATTTTATACAACAAAGACATTATCAGTCATGCATATTTATTGGCACCATTCTAAGGTTGTTCATTCAAGATACCGGTAGTTCAGATCATGATCTCAGGGAAATGGCGTGGTCACAAGAGGGGGTCAAATTTTTAACTACCAATCCATAATTTGTTAAACATGTTTATATTCATGAAAGCATCCTCAAGTAGCGTAATTTCAAGTTTGTTCAAATCATGACTACTTAGGATAGGGTGGGGCCACGATATATGTTTTTCATAAGAAATAAGACTACCTGCTAATGAAGTGAAATAATTACTCAGGTGAGCGTTGTGGATCATAACCTTTTATCAACTATATTGTTATATACCTTACATATATATTGTATATATTTCCATTTTTATTGTACAATATATAATTTGCTTTCTGTAATGTTTCGATTTGTATGTACTTGAATTCAATTTGTATTTCAAACAATAAAACATTATTTTGTGGAACTTTACCATCATAATTTTCCAGATTTGGACCACTATGAAAATTTAAAACTTTTAATGTCCGTTTATCCAAGAAAACTTGCAAAGTTTATAGTTCAAGCCTATTGAAAGAGACATAAACATTTGTATAACTGAAAATCACGTGATGTGTATATTTTAGTATTTTTTAAAGGTGACATATATAGGTCCACCGGGCCGGGTGTTTGTATATTATGATATAATTCTAACTAAGTGATTACATATGTTTTACACATGGCACTATAATAAATAAAACACTACTGTAGATTAAAAATATTGGACGTAAATATGAACTATGAAGTAAAAAATAACGAAAAGATTTTAGACAGAAAAATATATAAACATCCCCACTAAATACATATACACTTATTGATCCACCTTAAAATTTTATTCAGGTCTAGGTCATACTAATAAGAGAATCGTTCTTCAATATTATACTTTTAAGGTGGCCTCTAAGTTTGCAGACGATGTAAATACACTATTTATAAGAAACACCTGCCCCCAATATGTATCAATTTTAGAGGGATCTGTACCGCCTCTCAGACTACACAGTCTGCTATACATTCCAATGTGCATACAGGGTGTTTCACAATATATGTCACACATCTAAATGGGCATAATCTGAATATCGAGCATGATACCAAAAATACCAAAACACGATAGTTAAGCATATTGATCTAAATTTATTATATTGCACAGTATCGGGAAAATTATAATAAACCATGAAGTAACCGATGATATAATCAGTGATGTCATAATTTCTGCTATTCTCAAAATTGCGTAAAACTTGCAGCAAAAATTTGTTGTAAACTTTTATTATAAGAACAGTTTACGATATCTTTAATATTTTACAGGGGGTGATGATAAAAAATAACTAGACCAGCAATTACTGTCTATTTTTCTTATATTAATAATAAGTAGAGGGTTTAAATTAAATTAAAATGTAAAGATGAAAGACAGAGACCCTGCCTCCTCTTCACCCCACCCTACCCACCCCCCAAAAATCAAAAAGAGATGAGAACAATATCAGAGGGAAGTCAATCATTGAGAAAACCTCATGAAAGTCTGATCTGAGTTTAAGGAAATGGTTTGTAACAATGCCAGTAGGTGTATCAAGAGTATTTCGAAATCTTAAAATTTTAGTTAGGTGTGTCTGCATACAAGATTTCAACGTTTAAAGTCAAATGACATTCAGAGCCGGGGTTAAAGTTTGCAAGATTGACTGAAAGGAAGAGCGAAAGGAGTGGACACCAATTAACTCATACCGGTAGTTCTGAAACGACACATTTATTTAAATGCAACTTTAAATAAAAACAGATTTGCACTTTGGGGGTTCTAAAAAGCCAGATATAAAACAAAAAAAGTCTCAGAAATCTTGGGAATCTTGAGAAACTTACAAAACAGTTATCAGAAATTTATAAACATCAATCTCTTAAGTTATTTAGGAAAATGTTTGGAAAACACTTGGAGAATAACATTTGAGGATTTGTTGCCATAGTAACTGAAGTAGAGAATTTTGGATACTTCTGACTCAAAAAAAAATAATTTTGAATATATGCTGATTAAAATGATATATAAAATGTATATGTAGCTTTACTTGTCATTTATCTATCTGTCTTTAGATGTGTGACATATATTGTGAAACACCCTGTATAAGTGCAACAGAACCGACATTTTTAATTTTTCAAAATAAAGTACATAATAATATAAAAAAAAAATGTCGCTTTTATAAGATCCCCCTTGAAGCATTTCAATGAATATTTGTTTTACAGAAAAAATATGACCAAAAAAAAAACTGTCGTAAATTCCTTGTATGTGGCAAGAAGCCGATATTTTAAAAAGTTTGGTGAAACATAAAATGCCTTTGGATTTACAAGAATGATATCTCATGCAGAGTGCCTAAAAGTGCACATTTAATCTAAAAGTCTAAATAATTACAACAAATTCTGAGGTGTTAAAAGAAGTTAGATTACTGTCGTTCATAAACCATTTTAATGTCCCAGTTTTGTCAGGTTGGTAAGATGTACTTTTACAAGATTTGACCCATATCTAAAATAGAGAGAAAAGACCTTGTTCAATTCTGTACATAAAATCACTAAAATTCATGGTAAACGTCAAAACACTAGTACTTTGAATAATGCTGTTTCATGAGAAAGGTTTTTTTTTATAAACTTAAGAATAAAAGTATTATACATTAACATAGTCATTTCATTTTTATCATTACCAAATTATTTATCCCTCATTAATGGCAATTTTGGATTTAATATTTCTTGTCTCCCGTGCACCTCCTATTGTACTTTTTGATCGGAAATGTAATTCGGGTTTCCCATAGCAAATCATTGACACTGCCATTCTTTGTATAATATTGAAGGGTACCCATCACTTAAAATTGATGATACTTTCACAAAATCTTTGTTACACAGTGTCATTGTGCACCTCCCATTGTACTTTTTGATCAGACATATATTTCGGGTTTCCCATAGCAAAACATGGACACTGCCGTTCTTTCTATGATATTGATGGCTAGCCATTTTTATCCGCAACTCCTTCTATACCACTGAATAAAATTCAATGATACTTTCACAGATTCTTTATAACAAAATGCTATTGTGCATCTCCTATTTTTACTTTTTGATCGGACACCTTTTTTCGGGTTTCCCCGAGTAAAGACGGACGGACATTCTGTTCACGATATACCCTCCCATTTTCAAGCAGGGGGTATAATAAAGGGAAAAGTTCTTTAATGTATGTACAGGGGGGTGGGGAATTCATTCATAGATCGCAGCAAAGTTCTTGATAATTTATGACGTCATAATCAGCATGGCCATTGTTACGTCACAAATAGTTTTATTTATGTACAATGTTAGACAACAAACGTTGTTATGACGTCATAATCAACATAGCATTATTACGTCACAAATAGTTAACTTTGTTGTTAGAGATAGTCTTTGGCGTTCTGTAAAGATCATGGGTCTTCTTCAAAGTTGTTTTGCCAGAAATAACAAAGTGGGCGTGATGATGGAAGAGATGGAGGCGTTCGAGAAAGTACGACGTACAATGGTTACAGAGGAAGTAACAAAAAAGAAAGGCGGTGTAGCCTTTGATCTTACCTTCGTTTCAGAGGAAACCCCAAGGATGCCTCCATCCAGACTGCTTGAAAACAAAAAGGAGGATTTTGAGAAATGGAGAGGTAGGTTAAATAACTATTTAATATGAGAAAATTTCAACTAAAACAGTTTATGACTTGAAAAAAAAAAGGAATCGGCATTTATAACAATTTGAAATTAAAGTACATTATTTTAAAATGGATTATCTTTGTTTGACAGAGTCTCAAGAAAAGTCCCAAGCCGAGAAGCAGGAGCGGGCACAGCAGAACAGAGAGGAAGCCCGTATCCAGAAAGAGATTGAAGTGGCCCACAAGGAGATGGAGAGACTCGAGAAATATGTCAACATCACTGCCGAATAAATTTGACTCTTGATACATGTATCATTGACTCAAATTTTAATCAATACAATTCTTTAATCTTGTAATTTTAAACACTGGAACCAAAGAGGGGACACCCGAGCTCTTTATTCGCTTTGTTTGGCTTTTAATTTCACCTCTTTCTTTCTTGGCTTTTTGATGTTATAAAATTTTCAGTTCGCAATGTGGGGCCTTAGAGACAGATCTGAGGCTAGCATTGCGAAACAAAAATTTAATTATTCAAAAATGTTTACGTCTTTCAGAACTTTGGCCATACAGATACCCATTCCGTCAGGGATCAGGGATGGGGGTTCCTCGTCAAAAACTTCTAAACTGTAAATGAAACATCCGTTTAGAGATGTCCAAAAGCTTCGTTGTCCTCTCTTTTCAAAAACCTGTTTTTCAACTGTTTAATAAACTGATTATTTGCGAGAACATTTAATTGCATGTGTTTTTTATTCTGTGTATGAACATTTGATTGCGTTATAATTTTTAGAATATCTCGAACTATTAAACTGTACATTGTAAAATACATGTAGATTAATGTTGTTTTGACCTTTTAAAGGACGAACCAGAGCATCCATTTACGAGAAAATCTGAATCTACACTATTTGAGGATGCTTCTATATAAACATGACTATAGATATGCTGTTCTTGAGATTTTTAAAAATTGTTCCTATATACACTCCTATGTATTACTTTGATCCTCCATCATTCTGGTCCCACGCTACCCATGTGGTGCATGATTTGAAAAAAACTTGAATTTACACCAACTGAAAATGCTTCCATATACATAGCAGGTAAAATCTTCGGAAAAGTACATTCTGTACATCAAAGTATCAGGGAAGGTATTTACCAAGGGGTGAGCAAACATAAATATGATCAATCATAAGTTTGTTAAAAACACAATATTAAGGAGAATATTTTTCCTATATATACTCATATGTAACTTTGATGTCCGTTGTGGTCCCACCCTAAACCCATGATTTGAACAAAATTGAATCTACACAATCTGAGGATGCTTCCATATAAATATGACCAGTCATGGCTTGCTGTTTTTAAGAAGAATTCCTATGTAAAACTTTCATCATTCATTGTGGCAGGGTAGATTCAAATTTGTTCAAATCGTGACCCCTGGGGGTGAGATGGGCCACAATGCATATGGGGGATCAAAGTTTAACACAGAAATATATGTGAAAATATCATTAAAAATCTTCTTCTAAAGAACAGCAAAGCCATGATTGGTCATGTCCTCAGTAGGTGTAGATTCAAATTTGTTCAAATCATGACCCCTGGGGGTAGGATGGGACCACAATGGAGGATTTTACTTTTACATAGGAATACATTGGAAAATTCTTTAAAACTTTTCTAAGAACAGCAAAACCATGATTGGGGGTGGGGGGTTGGGGCAAAAGAGGGGGTCAATTTTTACATAGCAATCTTTTCCTCAAGAACAGGAAAGGCATGATTAGTCATACTGATATGTAGGTGGAGGCATCCCCAGGTAGTGTAAAATCAAATTGCTTCAAATGAGGCTCCTGATGGGCAGGACTAGGACACAAGAGAGGGGGGATCAAAATTTTGCAAATGAATAAATAGGAAATCTTCTACTCAAGAACAGCAAAGCCATTTCTTATATTGATATGAAAGCATCATCAGGTAGTTAAAAATTCAAGTCCCCCCTCCACCCCAAATGTAAAATTTTCAATATTTATGTGCTTTCTGCTTTTTTTGCCATGCCAATGTGCTCAGGTGAGTGATATGGCAAATGTGCCTTGTGTTAGTTTTTGAACTGAATCTGAGCTTTTGTTATAAATAATTTTTCAAGTCACTTTAACTTTTCTTCATCTTTTTACAAGTAGCTTCAGATTGCTGGCAAGCTACTGTCAAATACAAATTATCGCAAAAATATTCATACATCAAGAGTAGGATTAAAACTTTGACAAAAATAGACCAAGTGAGGGAAAAGATTTTTCTAAAAATAGAATTACTTGAATTTAAATTTACCATTGAATAGCACATTTTAAGGAGTAGTAAGTAAAAAAATTGAATTGATAGCCTTTGCATACTCGGATACTTGTTGACAATCATAGACCCATCAATTAACTTATATATTTGTCAACTTACAATGTAACAGTAGTTTATTTTAAGAATGGACATGTAAATTCTTATTTGTATAATGACAAATGTTGAAATTTAACAGTTCAGCAATCTGATTTTTAACAAAGTCTTGTACATTTTCTTAAACAATATTATTATTTGTAGTCATGTCAACGGATACAAACAAACAATATATGCACTAAAATCACTTCGTGGTTTCTTCTATTTTTAATCTTTTAACCCTTGTTTCCTCTGTATAAGTTCTTTCACATTCTTTTCCATTTTCTTTCAGAAAGTTCTTTTCATTTTCTAGATTTTCAGCATGATCTCTTTTGAGGGCTGAGGACTGTTTAAATAAAGCTAGGTTAGACACCCCATTCTCTGCATTATCCTTGGGTGGGGACTGACGTATTGGTACAGTAATGGAGAGGAAATCTTCGGCTGCTATCACACGCTCTGTTCCCATGATCTCCTCTGCCTCTTTAAGCAAAATAGACACAGATTCTTCCTCCTTATATAAAAAGAAAGAAATTCTGAATAGTAAGAACTTTGGGTGCAAGGTTTGAAAAATTGAACAAAATTTAAATATATAAAATTGAAACACTAAATAATGGCATTTTTTTTCATTAGGACTCAATGAATTATTGAATGAAAGCATTGTATTCATCAGTTTCTATTTTCATAATGTGAATATTTGTCTTTGTTTATCATACATAAGTGTGCTGTACCTCATATTCCTCTGACACAGGCATGTACCTCTGACTGAAGTGGGTCAAAACCAGTAACCTGGCATTAAGGTCCTTTGCCACCTCCGCTGCCATTTCTGTCAAAGATTTTTTTAACAGTATATTTCCCTTTCATTTTCACTTTCAAATTGAATTCTAAATTCATCATGCATCTCTTTAGTATTCACATAAAGCATTTTGACTGTATATTTGATACTTATACTAATGTGTAATCAAACCAATTTACTCGACAGCATTTTTAAATAAATTAAATCAAAATTCTTAAAGAATAATTAAGAAGCAATAATTGAGTCATGTCTATTTATGATTTAAAATACAAATCTACAGCTTCGATATACTGTAAACCAAATTCGCAGGGTGAGTGAAAAACAATTTTTCATAACACATACAAATTGCCATGTCTATCTTGATAAGAGTGTAAGAAAAGAGACTTCTTTACACGTCTAGCTGCAGTCAATACTCACCAGGAGTGGAATGACCCTTTTCCAGTGCCATGTCCTTTAGAGAGTTCTGTAGAGTGGCTTCGTGGACGATAACGTCGGCGTCCCTCCCCACAGTGTAGACCTCGGAGGAGTTACAGGTGTCCCCCAGAATGATCACCTTACGGCCGGGCTTGGGGGGCCCCACCACATCAGCTGGATCTATCTGTGAAACATTTACCATATAAATTAGGAAATGAGGAATTCAAAGGAAGTACACGTAAATAACCAAATGACTGTGTCGATTTGTTTTTAATTATTGTATCAAGGTTTTTAACAAAATTAAGTAGTAATAATTTGTCTGTCTTCCCCCTTTCGCTGTTAAGTGCTTGTGTTTAAATTGTGTCTTAAACAAGTATGTATACCAATAATGAACTTCCATTCAGAACAATTTATTATTGTTTCTTGAAATCACTGATAGCATGAATTATTTCCCCCTGATACATTACACTGCATCTTTGGAATGTGTAAATAATCACTAGCTTTAAAAGAATTTCAGATGTACATCAAATTAATATATTTGATTAATAAGCATATAAATAGAACATGATTTTCTGTCTTTTTTCCTTTGTTATTTCCAAATTAATAATGATAATCAACCAAAATTATCATCCTTATGAAATACATTGTATTCTACAAAAGAAAAAATATTTTAAAACATCTGTTTGAATTGAATAAAGAAGAAAAAGAGACCTTTCTTCCATCAGGCAGAGTGACCACTTTTCCTTCTTTGACTTCTTTACACCATGGACCAGGCTTGACCCCTTGTAATGTAAGTCTGGATATATCAAGCCTGAAAAACATTCTCAGTTATTGAATACATACATACATAATGTAGACATTAATTATTCTACGGTACTGAAATGTTCTACTTTTTACTGTTTTTATCAGAGAATATAATGAGCATTTGATAAGAAGTACAAACTTTCCAGGCGAGGAGGCTTCCTGTACACAGAAACCAAAGGAGGGAATTCTGTGTTGGAGAAAGACAGCCTTCACTGAGATTTTGTCAGTAGAAAACCTGTGTATGAATGGGTGAAAATTTAGGTATACAAAGAATGATAACTCTAGTACATTCATATACAAACAATTATTTTAGCACGGCTTTCAAATGCTTCTAATTGAATCTTTAAATTTACATGAATGTCAAATTTTAAAATAAAACAGTACCGGTAATATTGCTTTTATCAGAAGATTGATAACTCACAGTGTCCAGACATTATCCTCGTCTGCCTGTATCAGTCGACCTTTTCTTTCATTTGGGTGAAGGCTAGAGGAGTCACAAGACTCTTCAACTTTCCATTTCTAAACAGACATCAAACATTTTTATAACATTGAAAATGTTCCCTTATAATAAACTTATCATAATAGATTTTATGATCCATTTTGCTTAATTTGAGTTTTTTGACTAGATTCTAACTAATAACTTATTTGTTTTTAAGTCTCTGGTCATACATCCATTCATGTACAGTCTCTGCAAAATAGTCTCTGGTCATACACCCATCCAATATCACAAGTAACTAGTCTATTTCTATTGTTTATTCTTTTATGGATAGATTCAGCAAACATTATCACATCTTAATAAATTTATTATTAAAAAAAAATACTACCTGAATTTCACTGGGTATCTGACATGGTAAAACTTTCATTTCATGAACGATGTATGAAAAACCAAGTATGGTCCGTGAAAGTTCTAAACTGGTTCTTATAAACTTGCGTAGTCCAACTGGTCCATAGATTTCTAGTGGTTCTGACCTTTGGTTATTTCCACTGATAGTACACAGTAACCCCGGTAACCCAAACATCTACAAACAATATACATAGTATGTCAGCCTATTACATTACTAGTACAGATACCATCAATTTGAATCTCTCTTTACTAGTTCAAAATGTACTAATGATGGGAAAGAATTCAAATTAAAAAAAAAAACTGTTAAAAGTTTCAACTTCTATATATTCAAGTGAAGGCAGTAAAGATTTTTCAATCTACTATAGTGTCTCATCAATAAATAATGACTTTAAAAGGCTTGCACATTTGCAACTTACATGATCGCCATGGAGATGAGAAATAAATATTTTGTTGACTTTTCCGGCCTTGACCTTACTCTTTTGTAGCTGTATCTGAGATCCCTCCCCACAGTCAAACATCCAGGATCCCTCATCTACAGCAAGGAGTGGTACACAATATACAAGGATAGTCAGAAACATCTATTACATGTACATGTATAATGTATTAATACAAAGATATTTGCTTTCAATTCATTTTAATCTTTCCTACTTTAAGTGGAAAACATATTACTGAATAAATGCTGTTTCAACCACAGGGGCCTGTAACATACTGTATTTGATTTTACGTAAGCACTATATATATACAAAAAAAGCTTTTTGTATATATATAGTGATTACGTAAAATCAAATACAGTATGTTACAGGCCCCTGTGGTTTCAACATGTTCAATAACAACTTATTGGAATAAATGGATTTAATTCAAAAACTTAATTCTCTTATTACTCAATCTATTGAATCTTAACACCATGATGTATGAAATTATATTGTCTGAAACAAAATTCCACTGGGAAATTGATATCATTTGCAACTTTAAAGAAAATATGATAAAGTACCCTAGTTTTTTTATGATGTCCAAATTACAGGATAGTGATTATATTTCAAAATAATAGGGCCAAGTTTGTACTGAACCATAACTTCCAAGGTCTGTGGTTTTATCAACTCCTGATCATGACGTACCCATTTTGAGGATGACACATGAAGCTCCACGGGAAGGGGAGGGGTAAGCCGACCCTGTCCCAAGGAAGGTTATCTCCATCATAGAACTGCTCATTTTGTAAGACTAAAAATTAAAATATATGACTAATGATCCATGCATTGATCTAAGTATTAAGCATTTGTGTGTGGCCTGCAGAGCAGATTGGCACTTAAAAGTTAAGGATCACTTTACCCAGCATTTGTCTCTGTCCGTCTGTCTGTCACACCTTGTATCTCAAGAGCTATGAGAGATATGGACTTGATGTTTCCCACATATATTAATTGCTTGTTATATATGTTATAAATGTAATGAAACTAACTTAATTAAGTCTCAACAGTAATATTTTTCAGATACATATAACTGACTTTACCGATGAATTAAAGATTTAGACACATAAAATTAAATTTGAATACAGGATCCCAATTATTTTGGAATATATAGCATTGAAAGAACTTGCATACATGCATACCGAGTTAAAATGCATTCTTTGACCTCTCTATCAAGAATTTTATTAATAGCGAGCGCAGCGAGCGTCGCGAAGCGACGCTCGCGAAGCGAGCTCAATAGACTAACGTGTAAGAACAGAGGAAATTCGGATTGAAATCTGTACATACGTCAGCCAAATTTCTCTGTGCAACATTCCCAGAATTCCTGCACTACCCAATGTCCTTTGCGCGAATATTGCCGAATAAATAAATAAATAATAACGTAAAGCATATATCAGACTTTCAGTTTGTAGAAATCTTTCAAAGAAACAAGAAATAACTCTGCAATGTTTTTCGACAAAAATTGCACTAGTTCTATAGTTTCAAACAGACGCTCGGCTGTCTCCGTAAGCTCCAACGAGCTTTGTGACGTCGTATGACGTCACAGCTAGTCGAGATATCTCGTGCGGCTTGACGTTCGAAGTGGCTGATGGTACAACTGCGCTCGCCCCAACGGTCACACCGTAAAACATATTACCAGGTCTGGTACAATCACTAGATTTAGCTACGTAGCTTGATTTACCTACATAGTTTTATTTACCTACCTAAGGTAGCTTTATTTACCTACCAAATTGGTTTCTTTCTATTTAAAAGCATTTTTCTCAGGGTGTGCAGAATATATCATTTTGATGCAGTGATAATTTTCAACTTTGAACTCATCTGAAAACAACTCATAAAAAAATCTCTCTTGGAAAAATGTCTTTTTCTGCGCAATTGCAATCAAAGTTCTGAAAGTTTTGGGGCTATGTATGACAGTTAGAACAGTTACCCCTTGGATGAAATGACAAAGAAGTCCAGTTCTGGTTAACACGTACAATAATAGGTCGGTAATTATTCAGTACAATGTGAAGTAATCATACTCAGTCATGCCTCACCGCACGGACAGCTAACCAAACAATGGAATTACACGTTTTGCTCTAAATTGTCCAAACGCAGCAATGTATGAACTATCTCTGCGTTGGATTGTTTTTTTAAGCCTCACTAGTATAAATATCATTCTTCGTTTAATTGCGACTTTTTGTCTCTTTTTAATAAAAAGAAAATTTTTGAAAACTTACCTTGAAATAGCTAAATAAAGCTACCTGAGGTAGGTAAATAAAGCTACGTAGGTAATTCTACCTACGTAGCTAAATCTAGTGATTGTACTGGACCTGATTACTGTATTAATGGTGCAACCTCATTTACCTGTACCTACTTTTTCCAATCTTCGACAGCCACACGTTGTAATCAATCCATATTTAAATGTGTCCCAATGAGATGTAACAGTATTTCTTTTATCTATACAAGTCGTTCACTTTTTCATTGATGATGAAAATTCTGTGTTGTTTGAGAAACACGAGTTCGTGTTTTGATTTTGGAATAATGAGACCCCCGAACCCGACTTATATTTCCTTTTAAGGAAAAAAAAGGGGGGTTAGCTGCTTTGTAGGTGATGTAAGAGAATGGGGTAGGGGTTGAAGGTATTTTATTGTATGTTTTTAAAAACATAATTTACACGAAATGAAGACAGAAATGCTTCGATCGTTGTCATTTGATGTAAATAATCAAATATTTTAAAGTGTTACACAACTTCTTAAAGATTCGGGTTCATCTTCAACATTTTTTTTTCTGTTTTGTTGTTTAACTTTGAATCTTTACAAGTTTATCTTTTAAAAAAAGATAAGTGAGCTAGCGACGTAGCAATATTTAAACACAGAAAGGAAAGTTCGTAAGGTTTATTTTGCTGAATTCTTTAGGCTGGAGTCTGATAGTTCATCTACATCTACATGGTACGTTGGTCCGTCATCTTTCAATTGACGATTACTCAACGGCGCAGCGCTTTGACAACATTGTTAGAAAGATTAAAATGTAAAAACGGTTAAAAGGTAAAAGAAGGAAGTTTTCAGCTCTTCTGTCAGCAGCCAGTCCGGTAACCGTAGCGGCCCTGAGACTTACTATAGAGGTCTCCCCGGCATTGCCCACTGACTTCACTAGAGCTTACTTGCTCCCTGAGCCATCTAGAAGGAAAGTGATGAAAGCCCCTGCTTGAAGTGTACCAAGACAGGGGCCTCAGCAACAGATGCTGGTAAAGTGTTCCAGGTTATGATAGTCCTGGGGAAGAAACTGAACTTATAGATGTTGGTTCTGCACTGATGATGCTGGAATCTGTTGGAATGGGTGGATCTGGTTCGACTTGATGATGGAGTGACATACTGAGATAGCGGGATATCTACCAGGCCTTTCCATGCCTTATAAAACATGGCGAGCTGTGCCTTGGTCCTACGGCTCTCTAAGGATTCCCACTGGAGACTGTCTAGCATGTCTGTAACACTGCTGGTATTCCTATATCTATTTGTGACGTACCTAGCAGTTCTCCTCTGGACCATTTCAAGTCGGTGGATGTGATCCTTTGTGTGGGGATTCCATACTGAGGCACAGTACTCCAATGTGGGCCGAACTAGTGCCATATATGCCTCTGTCTTGGTCTTCTCATTGGTGATTTTGAGGTTCCTACGTAAGAAGCCAAGAGTAGAGTTCGCCTTCTTAACTGTCTTATCAATATGGACCCTCCATGACAAGTTGGTAGTTATCCATACCCCTAAGTACTTGGGGGTCTCTACATTCTCCAACATCTGACCTTTCAGTGAGTAGCTGTAGAGCTGCGGGTTTCGGGATCTGGTGAACACCATGGTGTTACACTTGTCTGGATGAAAATCCATTCCCCACGTTTTCTCCCACTCCTCTAGGTGGTGTAGGTCTTGTTGGAGTTGTTCGCAGTCCTCCCGACTGTGTATCTGGCGATAAAGGACACAGTCATCAGCAAATAATCTCACATGGCTATTGACACAAGATGGCAGGTCATTGATGAAGATGAGGAAGAGCACAGGCCCAAGCACACTCCCTTGTGGGACTCCGCTGATGACAGGTGCGGGCTCTGATGTGGCTCCTTCCACCACCACTTGCTGGGATCTCCCGGTCAAGAAAGAGCGGATCCATACATGAGTGTTACCGCGGATTCCACTGTGGTGTAGCTTCATGAGAAGTCTCTCATGTGGGACGCGGTCAAAGGCCTTGCTAAAGTCTAATACAACCATATCATGTTGGATACCTTTGTCCCATGCTCTTGCCAGGTCATCAAATAATGTGAGTAGTTGAGTCTCACAGCTCCTTCGTGCCCGAAAGCCATGCTGCACATCTGATAATATGCTGTACCTATCCATGTGGTTCATGATGTTACTGACCAATATGTGCTCTAACAGCTTGCAGCATATGCATGTTAAGGAAACTGGCCGGTAATTTGAGGCTTTGTATCTCTCACCTTTTTTGAAAATAGCTGTTACATTGGCCTTTCTCCAGTCATTTGGTACGATGCCCTCAGACAAGCTTTTACAGAACAGTTGAGTGAGGAGTGGAGCAATCTCAGCTGACATGTCCTTCAGAACTCTGGCTGGTATAGAATCAAGTCCTGAGGCCTTGTTAGGATTGAGCTTCCTCAGTAGCTTGCAGACTCCTTCCTCTGAAATCTTAATGTCAGGCATTTGTGGGGATGGTGTACCATGAGGCATGGGGATATTCTGGGTATCCTCTCTAGTAAATACAGACTCGTACTGGCGATTCAGAATATCCGCCTTGTCTTTTGCCTCAGAATGTAGTACTCCTCTGTCCTTTAGTGGTGACACTCCATTGCTGTCCTTCCTCATGGCATTCACAAACCTCCAGAAGCGTTTTTGTTTATTTGGCTGCATATCAGACTCTGCGTTGCCAACTTCAATAATGTTGTTCACATAGTCCCAGTATGCTTTCCTTACAGCTGTTTGTGCTTCAGATTTCGCCTGTAGGTATTTATCTCTGATCTTACTTGATTTCTTCAACTTCTGTTTTGTAAAAAGCTTGTTTCGCTTACGCATCTTGCGTTATTAGAGTTATAATTTGTTGTTTTACGCATCTTGCGTTATTAGAGTTATAATTTGTTGTTTTAGAACTAAAATTATATTAGTGTGGAACTGCATCAATCGCTTTTCGTGTCTTGCCAACAAACTTTGAAAAGAAAAAATGAGGTTGACAGTATTATCCAGGAAGGTGTTATCACTCTCAAGCTAGATGTCTAGAAACGTCACGCGCGGATCTAGAGGGGGTCGGGGAGGACCACCCCCCCCCTGGAAGTTGATACACAAAACTAAGTAAAAATAGACCTTGCCCCTCCAAGGAAACGGAGATCCCCCCTTGAAAACGCGGAGCTTTGTTCAGTTGGTATGAAAAGTATTAGGTATAAAGCATTTTAAGTCAAAAGTCACGACACCCCCACCCCAACAAAATAGGATTTTCACGTTTAGGGAAGTTAAGTTTTTTTTTTTTTGCTTTTCAACAAATTTCTGGGTGATAACCTTGGAATGACGTATGATATCTTCATCTCCTGGCGTTCATATTTGACACAATATGCCATAAATAATGGCAGTCCTATCTCCTCTCCGTCAACAATTATAAGGAAAGAAAACAATTTTTAAAAAGTAGGTCAAACTTCAAGGTCAACTTCAAATATACGTACTTGGGTTTTTGGCCTCTTGACTTACACACGTATATTTGGAAAGGTCTTGTTACAGGTAATGTACATACATGTATGATATATGAAAGTCCCATCTTTTTGTATTCGAAAGTCATGACCATTGAGGGTTAAAGTTTTTGTGACCGACGGACAAACTAACAGACGAATGAAAATTAATGTCTCCTCGATTTCGCGAAAGCGGAGGACAAAATTCTACAGATAAGCCAACAGGGTGAAGATAACCCGTTATTCATTGTAAATACAAGGATCAATCAATCAACAACTCTCATTTAAAAAGTACCGGATAGTAATCATGCAATGTTAAAACCTAGGGCAACTGAGTAGAATTTTGTGGTCAGCAGAGTAGAACCATGGTATCAATAGGAGTAAATACAGATAAGCTAACAAAACTACCTAATATGCTCAGGCTTGTTGTAAACGTTGTAAATAGGTTGTGTGTTTCAATTACTTACATCGAAAAAAAGCAGAGAATTTTTTTTTCAAACTATCTTTTTTTTTCAAGAATGTTCTATGTGGTTATTAAAAGTCGTCGCTTTGTATTTTCATGATATGTGTTCAACCCCAATTGTACTTTTTTGCGATAATAGTAGTTCAAAAACCTTAAACACTAAAACTTTTAAATAAAAATTTCTTACATTTTACATTTTTTAAGAAAAAGAAGCTTCCTTCGTAAAAATATAAAAGTTCCCACAAAAAGGGTAAAAAGAAAGAAAGAGAGGGAGAGAAAGAAGCAGTAAAGAAGGATAAAGTGAGTGTACGAGAGAGAAGGGAAGGGGAGAAAGAAATAGGGAAGGAAGGAGGACCGAAGAGAGAGAGGAGGAAAAGGGGTGAGGGGAAGTGAGAGGGGGTGAGGATAAAAAAGGGGAGAGAGATAGGGGTGAGGTGAATAGAGGGGAGAGAGGGGTGATACAGGGGAGAGAAAAGGGTGAGGGAAAAGAGGGGAGAGAGGTGAGGGGAGAGAAGGAAAAGGGGTGAGGGGAAAAGAAGAGAGAGAGAGAGAGAGAGGAGAGTGAGAGTGAGAGACGGAAAGGAATGGAGTGGGAGGGATGATGGGAGAAGTAAGATAACTGGGAGGGTGAGTATAGAGAGAGAGGACTGCGCAAGTTCATTAAATGATAAAACTTACTTCGTTATTTAAAAAAAAAAGCATTGTGCTGGTATATTTGGAATTTTTTTTTATTATACTTATACATGTAATATAAGCCTCGGTCTTTTTATAATGCAAATGTACAGAATTACATCAATTCTAAAGTCAGACGACACGTTCCTACAAGATATACAATTTTTCCAAAGAAATTTTCATTAAAATATAGGTACTTAAAGAAGTTTCCTCACAAAAAATTGAGGTACCTTACCAGACATTTGGACAAGATACCAGATGAGGATTTTTCTTATATAAACCTTATGGGTAATCTTCTGAATGGTCTTTGTCACTCTGTCACAATTTTCATTGTACTTATATTTCAAATCATATTGAAAACAATGTAGAAATCACAACAGAAAGCCAATGATGAATAATTTTTTATATATAATATTAGGAAATACAAAACATATTTTTGAGGAACGTGTCTTCTAACCTTAAATATTTGCACTAGATAGTTATTTGACGTTGGGATGGACATTTTACATGTACTTTTTACCATGATTTTTGCAATCATTTATATTATATTCTAAAAAATAAAAATAAAATACTTTTTTAGTTTTTAAATTTCACTTTTAACCTTCTATGAATCGGGATAACGTTATTATTTTTCATATATTTACAACACACGAATTAATATTTGGATAATTGATCTGCACCGGTATATATATATAGTATATCGGATTAGGTGTTGAATTTCGCTGATCTGCTGTTCACAGCTTAGCAGTAGGTTTTATCTCGCAGGAAATGGATTTAAATGAATGGTTTTGAGCATTTAAATATAACGATATTAATATCAACCTGAAAGTCGAACTCTTTTAAATAGAAGACGTAAAACTTTAAAACCCACTCGGAACTTTAAAGATTTATCACAGACCATAACGAAAAAGCACCTGTTCTCGGATTATACCTGGAGCTTGGAATTCATTAGCATAATAATACGTCTTAGCAACGAGAGACGCGACACAGACAATTGTTAGACATCGATGTAATTATCCATTATTTCAACAAGTTCTCGGAGGATAACTAAACATTCGAGGTCATGACATCACTGGAATTTTTTCCACCTGTCGACCACAACCCCAAGGTGCCCACGGAATGGGGGTCGGGCAAACTGAAAGAGAACATCAACGCCTGGAACCGTGGCCAAGGAGAACCAACATGGCATTACAAGTAAGTATAAAATATACTTTTAATGTATTTTAAGATTGAAAACTAAAGGTAGTGTAAAAAGTTTCAAAGTAAAATTAAACAGACAAAACTTAAATTTCACGAATATAGAAAATAGAAACAGAGTAAGGTTCTAGTGTATATATATCAGTCCCTATCAATCTGAGCTGTTACTTACTGATAACGACTTAATTTAAAGCTTTATATGGTGAACATATTGAGATGCACACTCTAGAGTTCGCGTTGCAGACAAGTAACGATGTAAACCTTATACTAACTTGAAACTTTTTATGACATTCTTATCATTTTATTGATAATTGTTATGAAATGAAATGTAAACAAGCATAAGTGATATTTTATTTATTGAGCCATAAATCCCTTATCTTTTGGCTCTTAAAAAAAACTCTATGCTGACTAAACGGACATTTTTCCTCCACTTTTGAGAAACAGCAGCTATATTGAAGAACAAACTAATTACTTGATACATGTAAATGTAAATAGAACAAATTAATGCAAGATTTTCTGGAAGCAAATACATTTTTAATATTAATTCCCATACAGCAATACCTACATACAAATCGTGAGTTGCATGCACAACTTCTTGATTATTGAATCTTACATTTATTATTAATAATTAATGGTTACAACATATCGCGCCGTGAACACAAGGGCAATAAAGACTTAAATTTAAATATATAATGATTATCGATTTACGTGGCGTTAAGGTGTAAAAATGGGATGGTGAAAAATTACAACGCACGCGACAATTGGTTCTATGGTAGATTGGATATTGAGGTCTTTGATAGATAGTAAAAATGGTACGAGTGCCCCAGGGAATGTAAAAGTTATTTCTCTGTATGAAAGATGCGTTAAGGTAGCCTGACCTTCCTCAATAAACCTATATGCTTACCTAGGTTTTTAGTAAATAGTAATTTCCCTTTAAATTTAATTGCATTTGGAAGAAATAAACTCTATTGAAAAGTAGCAACCTTAGAATAATGCCGGACACAGTTATTCCAACTTTTTTTATATGTTAAAAAATTGACTTTTTGAAAAACATTTCCCCGCATCATGCATCCTCTGGCTTATTTGAAAAGCTTTTTTAAATAATATTTTTGTTTATACTTTCAGAGGAAAACCAGTAAATCAGGATTATACCCTTACCCAACTCAAACTGAGCAACATCCGAAGCAACGACGAACTGTAAGTTAAACAGTCCAACCTCCTAAAAACTGTGGCTTATTATGCACCAATCACCAAAAAAAACAAAAAACAAAAAAAAACCTCAGTATAAAGAATTGTCAAAAGTAATTTACATGTACTTGTAATCATTTCAATATGTACATGTTATGTATATAAATACAATATAATTTATTATTATTTGAAAGTATATAAAAATAAACTCGTTGACATAAATGCAGCGAACAGTTCCTCAAAACGTGCTAATCATGTAACAGTATCCTAAATCTATATGAGTTCAATATGCTACTATGACAATGCTTGAAAGGATCAATTCCATAATGATTATTTCTCTATTGATTTTTCAGAATTCCACGACCTCAAGTGATGAAAATGGGGTAAGCATTTTTTGAAAGCTTAAATGCATCTCCTACACTAAGTACACATTTTGCTGATGACGTCAGAAAGATTGTATAGGCGTTTAATTTTGATTTTAGGGAAATCATGATAAACAAGGATTTTCCTGCGGAACACCCCTACAGCTCACACATGTCTCGATATGCCGTGTTCCCAACATTCCAGTCGCCTGAAGATGCTAAGCGTGGTATCCAGGCACGCCGAGAACAGCCGATTAATGCCGAAATGCCAGCTACAGCATTTGACGTACAAATCATTCACAAAACGAAAGGTAACTGCTGGACTTTACATCAAAATATCAAATCATATCAATATCAGCTTGACAATATCCATTTTGCGCACATGTACAAAGTTCAAAACCATGACTGTACTTCACGAAGAACATTTTAAGATAGACTGTACTATTAGTATGCTGAACTATATGGAGTACATATGATTTTAATAATTGAAGTATTTATTTTTAGGTTATGGAGATCGTCGAGAACTCCAGTATTTTCCAAAGGAATCTGAAAAAGTTGGCTTAGAATGGAAGGGGGAAGATGGATTCCATCAGGTGTGCAGTTTTAACCATCGCTGAATTCCCTATTGTTACATTCAAATGCTGAATTCCAAATAGCTCATTAACCCTCAATTATATTTTAGTCTGTAGCTTGAGATTTACTATTTACAGCTTGTGAAGGCACATGGTGGTCGCCAGCAGTACTATCCTACTCCACCGAAAGTCGTCTGCCCAAATCTCCAGGATCGTGCCGAGAAAATCACGGAAAGGTCCGCGAACGCAATGCGCAACCTTGAGCGCAATCACTGGCAGACGACATACGATCTCAACAACACCGGACTGGGGCCGTTGAATCCAATGAAACTGGATAACTTGGATGACAAGAAAAGGGCCATGGATGTTTACGGTGTTGAGGATAATAAACTGGTAATTTTTCTATACATTTTTTATATTTAATGACTAAAATATTTCCGTACAAAGGTGTCTTTGAATAATTTGTGTTATTCTCTTTCTGGCATATAAAAAAATTTATTCTTTTATTTTCAGTACCCAAGATCGATCAATACGTTTGATCCGCCTCGACCGTTTGAGGGAAGAATAGCCCGCAGCATCATTCCGCGCCCTCCTCCACAAAAGACAAATTCAGACGAAGACGAAAACACAGATTATATTCCGTAAGCAATGATTTCATTTTACTCTCCTGTATTCAGTTTTTTGTGGCTTGTAGCGCTTAAACATGGTCATAGAATGTTACTGATTTTTACAGACGTAAAACTCTACGAGAGCGAGAAGAACACAGATTGTGGAATGGAACAGAATATGTCAACCTTCCTGATACTACCGAGGAACAAAACCAACACATGCTGGCTCTAAGGTGGAAGGAAATGAATGATACCGCTCACCCTGACCCCAATCTAGGCGTAGTCAGCCAGCAGATGGAGAGACAGCCTTCGGAGAATATCCCCTGTCCCCCCGTTGTTGGAGTACCCCCGGATACCGCTGAAAACTATCTTCAGACTACCAAACAAAGACAGGTAAGATCCAGAAAATTAAAAACAAAACTCGTTTTCTTCACTGCGTAGATTAAAACAACTTTTCATAACTGTTACGACACTGAAATATACATTTGCAATACTTTCAGGATGAAATCTTTCAACAAGTTGAAGCGCAGAACCGATTTGCTGTTCTAGAATTAGAAAAGCCAAGTCATGTAATCACGACTTTGAATCACAAAATGCAGAAGGTCCATGAAACTGAAAAGCCTAGAACATTTTATGGTCACGAGGGAAAATACAACGAAGAACGCGCAGGTGTATACAAAACCAGTTACAGTCCCGAGGTCCTAGCTCATTCCATGAACGATCTGGAAACAAGTGGTCCTGAGATCATGAACACAATGCACAGTCATGAAGATGCAGCCTACTTGCCAACACAGTTAAGCCGAGACATGAAAGACGCCTTTAGAGGCGTGCGCACACTAAGTCTTAGTCAGCCCAATCTTGCAGGCGATAGAAGAGAAACGAGGGAAGTGATACTACCTCATAACGAACTCAAAAATGTACAGAAACGCATTCTTCAGCCAACTGTCGAAAATGCCAGAGTCAAAATCCAGGAGGGAGAAACAATTCTCAAAGAAAGTAATATGGGTGATAGTTACAATACTCATAAATTCCTTCAAGATTACAAAATCACACAGGCTGGTAGAAACGAACCCCTAAATTTGATGTCTGTAGAGAATAGCAAGCTTAAAAACGTACGATCAGCAGCTGAGCTAAGGAATCGAAATGGAATGTCAAAGTCTGTCTCGTTTTCAGACAGCGTGACTGTCGCTAGCAGCCGAGAAGATGGAAAGTTCCGTACCTTCAGTGCTGCTATGGCTGACGGCAAGGAAACGAAAGCAGACGACAAAGCAAACACGACCCAGTACTTGAGTACACAAGCTGAATACCGGAAGAACAACGAAACGTCACTTAGACGACCCCAACCAACTTTCCTGATGCCCGATCCTCCACCAGTTATCAAGGAAAATCCGGCCGACACCACCGAACCAATGACTTCTCCACGTCGACCTAGAAGGAGACCCTTCTCGACAACGGATACAGAATATCGAGACGAATTTGGAAGCTTGTCATCCAATGTGGCTCCAACAAATCTACGTCATTCATACACATTCCAAACCGCATACGAAAGCCAGTTTCCAAAATATCACCATATAGGATACAAAAGCGACGACAGATTTAACTGGGAACCAGGTCATGGTGTCCCTAGACCCCAGTCGACTCTTCTGCAAATTCAGGATAGTTTCTCAAAAACTGACATTAGAAGAAATTTCCATAGTCAGTTCAAAGAAAATAACCCTGATCTTCGAATGAACATTATCCAGGGTAAGAAGCATGTCTTCGATGGCATGGATGCGCAAGTTCTACACGGATGATTGACTTTGTAAAAAAAAAAAAACAACCACAACCTGAAACAATTAATTGTAGTCAACAACACTGTGATACTTCAGCGACATTCGTGTCCTGTATTTTGTATTGGTTGCAAGAATTTTTGGGATCTCTTCAGTTTTGTTCTTTCGAAATACAGGAAGAGGTGATATTTAGGTCATGCGTGTCGTACCGTTCAAATATCAGTATTAAAATTTAAAATAGAGGATTTTGAAGAAAATATTTGCATCAGTATTAGGATTTTTGCAATATGCATATTGTTATGTTTGAAATATTTTAATTTAATGAATGTTATTTTGAAAGAATGTTGCATGTTTGAAAGTTGAATTGCTCAAAATGTTTCTTTTTTAATTTTTATATATTATATGTATACGAAATAATAGATTTGAAAAAAAAAATGAAAACAAATAGTATTAAAGACTTTAAGACTTGTTGTTTAAGGAGACTGATCTAAGTTGAATATTGCTCACCAGTAATTTTAAAACGTCCCTAATTTGCACGTTTACAGATTCGAGGGAGGTTTGCTTTTTACAGCATGTGTTTGTGACTGAATTTGTGTATTGTTTACATTTGTTAATGTTTAGGCTATAAACAATTTGACCTTTGCGTGCCAATTATATCTTGTTTCTTCTCTCTCTCGATTATTTTCTTTTTGTTGTATCTGTTCACACAATCTTAATAAAACCTTGAAAAGTCACAAGGCTTTGAATTCCTTTATTGTAAACTTTATATATCACCGAATTCTGAATTTGTAAGATGTATACCAAAACTGATAGTCTTGTTATAAATATTTGTTCAATCGCAATGTCCTACAAATCGAATGACGCAGCAAAATTTGAAAAATGGGTATAAATGTTTTTGATTTAAACGATGTTTCATTTAGCGTATAGATGTGTAAATATGAATTGGAGTCAGAAACGAATTATATCATATTATAAAGAAATAATATCAATACCTATGATAAAATATCTATAAAACTGTATATGGCATTTCTTTTATCTCTGTTTACAATCAAAAATTCGTTTCACACCACGAAGCACCATATTCTTTCCTCAGACCCCCCCCCCCCCCTTATCCCCCGGTATACTGGAAGGCTATATCTAAAATTTCAACAAGCAAATTCATGGAATTGTGGTCCCCCGCTTTCGGTGTCTTTGTGGGTGAGATGTCATTTTTTATGATCGTAATATGAACATCCTATCATATGTCATTTATTTAGAAATCATCATTGAACTCCAAGGTCAAGGTCAAAGGGTCAAAGTTTTTGAGTATTCAATGAAAGGTCTTCTCACAAGGATTACGTACATGTATGTAAAGTATGAAAGCGCTAGCCCTTACCATTCAAAAGTTATGGCCAAGGTTAAAGTTTTTAATAAGTACGAAATATTTCCAAGGTCAAAAGGTCAAGGTTGTTGGTATCCAATCAAAGGTTTTTCACAAAGAATACATATGTGAAATATGAAAGTCCTAGTATCTACCATTCAAAAGTTATGGCCAGAGTAAAAGTTTGGAATTTTTGTGTAAAAAGGGGTCAAACTCCAAGGTCAAGGTCAATAGGTCAAATTGGTGGTACCCAAAGAAAGGTCTTGCCACAAAGAATACATATGTGAGAAATGAAAGTCCTAGCATTGGCAGTTCAAAAGTTGTGACCAAGGTCAAAGTTCTTGAAAAAAATCTTACTCAAAGGTCAAGGTCAAAGGGTCAAAGTTCATGGTATCTAATGAAAGGTCTTCTTACAAGGATTACATATGTGAAGTATAAAAGCCCTAGCCCTTACCCTTCAAAAGATGTGGTCAAGGTTACAGTTTTTTATAAGTTCGGAAATCTCCATGGTCAAGGTCAAAAGGTCAAAGATGTTGGTATCCAATGAAAGGTCTTGCCACAAAGAATAAGTATGTGAAATATGAAAGTCCTAGTTTCTACCATTCAAAAGATATGGCCAAAGTAAAAGTAAGGATTTTTTGTGTAAAAGTGGGTCAAACTCCAAGGTCAAGGTCAAAAGGTCAAATTTGGTGGTACCCAAAGAAAGGTCTTGTCACAAGGAATACACTTGTGAAATATGAGCTCAGCAATATCAAAAGTTATGGGCAAGGTTAAAGTTTTAGTGACGGACTGACAGACGGACGGACTGACAGACTGACGGACAGACGAATGAGATTTAATGTCTCCTCGCTTTCGCGAAAGCGGGGGACAAAAAAGGAATCGAAATATATGTAGATATTAAAAAATTAGATTGATTTTTTTTAACCCATTGAATTTTATTTTTGCTTTCTGCTCCAGATTAGTACATAACACTCTATGGCTTGAAAGAATTTTCCAGTTACTCCCGGTCTATTGTTTATTTTCATTTTCATGCAAATATAATTCACTGATCTGACAAACATTACGAAGTTTATCTTTTTCTATAATATGAATGCGTTTTTTTGACTAGAACTATAAACCCAGAACCTGTATCAAACAGCGCTTCGTCAGTGATCGCTAAATAGCGACCTAGTACTAATTTTTGTCCCCCGCTTTCGCGAAAGCGAGGGGACATTAAATCTCATTCGTCTGTCCGTCTGTCCGTCTGTCCCTCTCTCCGTCTGTCTGTCCGTCAGTCTGTCAGTCTGTCCGTCCGTCACAAAAACTTTAACCTTGCCCATAACTTTTGATTTAGTGGAGCTATGACTTTCATATTTCACATGTGTATTCCTTGTGACAAGACCTTTCTTTGGGTACCACCAAATTTGACCTTTTGACCTTGACCTTGGAGTTTGACCCACTTTTACACAAAAATTCCAAACTTTTACTTTGGCCATAACTTTTGAATGGTAGGTACTAGGACTTTTATATTTCACATATGTATTGTTTGTAGCAAGACCTTTCATTGGATACCAACAACTTTGACCTTTTGACCTTGACCTTGGAGATTTATGTACTTATAAAAAACTTTAACTTTTACCACAACTTTTATATGGTAAGGGCTAAGGATTTCATACTTCATGTATGTAATCCTTTAGAAAAGAACCTTCATCAGATACCAAGAACTTTGATCCTTTGACCTTGACCTTGGAGTTTGACTTACTTTTTAAAAACTATAACCTTTGATACAACTTTTGAACGGTGGATACTATAGGACTTTCATATTTCACATGTGTATTCTTTGTGCCAAGACCTTTCATTGGATACCAACAATTTTGACTTTTGACCTTGACCTTGGAGATTTATGTACTTATGAAAAAACTTTAACCTTGACCAAAACTTTTGAATGGTAGGAGCTAGGGCTTTCATACTTCAGATATGTAATCCTTGTGAGAAGACCTTTCATTAAATACCAAGAACTTTGATCCTTTGGCCTTGACCTTGGAGTCTGACCTACTTTTCAAAAACTTTGACCTTGGCCACAACTTTGGAATAGTAGATACTGGGACTTTCATATTTCACATATGCATTCTTTTTGACAGAACCTTTCATTTGATACCAACAACCTTGACCCTTTGATCTTGGCCTTGGACACTTTTTGTACTAATAAAAAACTTAAACCTTGACTATAACTTTTGAATGGTAAGGGCTAGGGCTTTCATACTTCAAATATGTAATCCTTATGAAAAGACTTTAGATTGGATACCAAGAACTTTAACCCTTTGACCTTGACCCTGGGTTCAGTGATGATTTCTAAATAAATGACATATGATAGGGTGTTCATATTACACACAATACGTCATAAAAAAATGACATCTCACCCACAATGGCACTGAAAGCGGGGGACCACAATTCCTTGAATTTGCTTGTTTTATTCGCAACTTCAGAGTTTCTGGTAGCATCCTGGGCAAAAACATACTAGTATTGTGAATAAAACTGTTCTATAAAACAATGAACAAACGCTAACATATATCATGGGTATTGAATTGAAATCACACTGATATTATTATTACTGAGACTAAGCAAGTTTAAAGGAATCGCTGCTGAAGAATCTACAACCCACCACCCTTTATGGCTGTACGAACAAAGACACAAGTAATTTGACCTTAGACCTACAGGTACAATGTTCAGAATCAAATGAAGTACAAGGAGTTCACTTTGATTAATGTGGACAATTTCTGAGACAACTGCCATTAATACTTATATTGCTGATTTTGGTGTATATTCGTTGATTAGAAGCACTCGGGAAAGATATGGTATCCACACACCTTAACAGTGATAAGATACATGTTTCCAGGGTACTTTGGCACCTAAGGTACTGATTACTATTCAAAAAGTCAAGGCAAAATTTCAAGCATCATGAGTCTGCCTGCTGATGCATACAATCATTTATAACCGAAATTATTTTAATTTTTGATGTTTATAATTTTGCCGAGAAAACATTGAAATATTTTTTAAAACATAAAACAGAATTGCAATTTCTACTTACATATACATGTACATGTATAATGTACATATATACTATATAAAAAAAAAATTCTTACAGACCATCCTAAGAATATATATTTCCCCACAAGCGAACTTTTCCCGCTAAAATACTTCTAAATTTACCAAACTTGATGTGATTATCAAATAGCTAGTTCAACAAGATAACCTTAAGTACATCGGAATCCAATTTATTTTTGAGATTCAAGGCCAAGAGAGCCACGCAAGAAAACTTTAATGAAATCAGACATTCAAGAATTGCTATGCTACGCAAAAATTCATTGTTATTGACCCAAAATGTTATATCGGCAATGGATCAGTTGTTCTGATATTATGTTAAAATTTCTTGTATATTAACCTATGTACAACCTCTAGATTTCCTTAAAATTTAACATCAAAATGTTGCAAAATTCATAAATTCTTAAACTTTTATAAAACTTTATACTAGTAATTAATATTTACATGAGGTGTTTCCTAATTGTAATATAATGTAACTTGCTGTATCTGGCCAGTATCTAGAATGCATATGTGACCTCAAATATATTTCGGACATACAACATTTACATTAGGAAAAAGCAAAACATTAGATTAGAAGATGGTGAAAACTGCATTGACGTGTGACTGCCATGTTCTTTTTTTGAATATTTTTCGACATGAATGTAAATGTAAGAATATGGATACGTATAACGATAGACATGACAAAGCAACCTATTGAATTATTTCAAGACTTTTGGGCTTTTAGCCGAGAAATCCTAAATTTTCTGTGAATAATCAACAGAACTCCAAAGATAACGGCTGCTACAGCCAGCCCCACACAAATTCCTAGTCCGCCAGACACACAGTGTAGACCATAACAAAACAGTTCGTTCTCAGGCTTCTGTTCGTCATACAAAGCTCCAAAAGAATATTGTCCAGCCATTCCAATTAACGCAGCACACAGGAGGGCCATACCCCAGTTTCTCCCCAAGTTCGATATATGGAACATTTCACTCATCACTGCCGGTGAGAGGGACCAGATTATACCGGTTCCCATCCCGCACAAGGCGGTTGCAGTGCAAAGTGCAGCGTAATTGTCACCAAGGAGCATCGCCAATAAAGACAGACCAACATATAAAAAACAGGTAAAGAATATGATCAGCATTCTTTGTATTTTCTCTTGAAAATAATCGGAAGCAACACCGATGGATATGCTAAGAATGGCGTTCGTGATAGGTATAATGAGAACAAAGTCTTGGTCGTGATAGTCAAGATGGACCGATTTAGATATCACCGTAAGATTGTTAAGGTATATAAGTCCAACAGAAGATGCACAGCTAAACATTCCAGTCAGCAGATAAAAATCCACATCAACCAGAATTTCCTTAAGACTCTTGGGCTCAACTGGAATGGAGACTGAAGGGGCACAACAGTCGCTCTCATTCTGAGAGTCATGTCTTGGCATATTTTTCATCGGTGTTTCATCTTTTGGTTGATGCTCATTAATTATATCTGAGGGATCAACAGTGTACACCTCGTCTGTCTTCTTGTAAACTCGCAAAAATAGAGCACAGATGATATCCACAATAGCAAACAGGATGGCAAAGAATGCCATAAAAGACGCGAAACTTTCTGCATGCTGGTTCGTTTTCTGGACTAGATGATAATATATTACAGAGAAGACCGATGGACTCCCAGCAAAGAAACAGTTTAGACCACCCACGATTTTGCCTCTGTGTTTATCAGAAAAATTGATGACATTGGTATTAAGGGCCACCATGTATGTAAACACCGATCCAAGACCTGTAAAACAGGAAAAGGAAACGTATTATCAATATTGGCAAAAAATATACAAAGCCCTCGAGGAACATTTTTGAAATTTAAAATAATACTTTATTACTCGATTTGTCAGCTCTAACAATTTGCATGAAACGTTAGTTGCATTGTACAAAAATCATTTACAATATATTACGATAAGAAACGGAAATTCCAAATGCAACAACGAGACATACATGTTCAAAGTCTTTTAACTCCTCTTGAAACATCGAAATAAAATAAATTCTAACCACAGATCATGAAGTACACTCCAACAAGACCTCCGGTGGATTTATAAAAATCCACATTTCTGGTAGTGCTCCAAAGCAGCATGTAGGACCCCACGGAAACAAATAGTCCCGCGATTGACGTCACAGTGGGTCCATATTTATCGTAAAGCATCCCGGGTAAAAACCCCACACCCAGTCCCAGGTTCAGCAAAGACGGCTGGATTTCCACTGAACAATCATAAGTATACATGTTAGAAAATACTTGCAAATACGTATCTACATGTACTTGTTTATTTTGCAATTATGTTTTATGCATTTTTTTAAAGTTAGGCAAATTTTATACAGTGTACATGACTTCGTTAATGAAAATAAGTCCTACTGTTTTTCTGGCTGAAGTTAAATGTCTGTTTGATGTCATCCTGGTAGACATTGTAAACAAACAGGGAGCCGGTGACAAACTTTGCAAAGCAACCAACAACGAACCCAACCCACACCAATATGCGCAGACGGGTTTCTGTCACGTTTTTGAAACACATCTGAAAAAAAATCTATGTAATTGTACTTTATATGAAGATTTGCTATATAATATGTTGCTTTGCGATATATGATACGCTGATTTGCCATATGATATGAAGATTTGTTATACCAGGTATAAATGATTCGCTGATTTGCTATATACATGTATGATACTCTGATTTGTTCTAAATATGATTCACTGATTTGTTATGTTAATTTGGATCTCTCTAGTATTATTTTCTAGGAAAATATCTCTGTCTTTGATGCTCTGATTTTTTTTTTACGATACTTTTATTTTCAATGATTCTCAGATTTGATTTTAAAATTTATTATATATAATATATATTTTTTTCTATCATACTTTAATTTGTAATGAACAGACACTTTAACTTTTTCTGGTGCTGCTTTTATTTGAGAGTGATATATAGAAAATCTGCGTTTCAAAGAAACAATGCATTTGATTTAATTTTGCAAAACTTACGAAAAAAAAATAATACAATGCAACACGGATTAAACGGATAAAAGTTGTAAAAAAAAAAATGAATGACACGACGCTTTCGCAGATTTATAATTATTAAAAAAATCCTAAAAATTTCATACACGTACTTTTAACTAAATTCATTTCAGGCTTGATAAGTGCACACAGTGAAAAGTTATTACATGAAATTATCATAACATGTGACCTCATCTCATTATTGACATTAACCCCGGGTCATAATTGTAATATGTTCACCAATCAATAATAATACCATAGCCATAACGTTAAATCCTTTATATTTTATGAAAACGTTTATAAGTAAAACACATTTTAATAAATATTGAATAATTAATTATGCATATACCTTGTCAGAGGTTAATGTTCTCTGTCCGTACACCCGAGTTTAGCTTATACATGTACCTCTGAAAACATTCTGCCGGGACTAAAACGATTATACCTTGGTTCGCGTTAACAGATAACGGTATTGATATACGGATAACACGTTTTTGACTAACATTGCTCGATAACAAACTTAATTTGAAAAATGGTAAGATAGACCACTATCACTTTTTATATTCCAAGGAACCCACTTATCGTTAAAGATTGAAATAATTCTAAGAGTGCAACTATTAATTCTATTTATTTTTGACAAGCATAAATTTTCATTTTAGGCATTTGCAAGCAAAGAATCAAAAACATCAATGGATAGTAAAGACCGAGTAGGATAGCATTTATCCTATAAATTCTGAAAATCAAATAGCAAAAAAGACTCTTCAAGCATTAAAACTAATATGAATGATAATTTATATTTAATTCGTGTTTTATTTTAAAACTGCAGTATTCCGAACGATTTTCATCCCGTCTTTGCTGCATTTATAAAGAAGATGGGGGAACAAGGCGGGCAGAATATTTTATATTATCAAGTATTTCTCAGAAAGAAGCGAATGTGTCATAAAAGTGTACTTTTAAGGTATAGTGGGTCTTCGCTCCATGTTTTTGTAAACCAAAAAATGTGTATTTCATTGCAAACTTTTAGGATCATCTTTCAAAAATATGGAGCGAAGACCCACTCATATTGAAAAATTTTGTTAAAGTACGAGAAAATGATCGTTTTTGTTCTTTTTAGTGTGTGTAAGCTTTTTCATAGGCAAATATTTTCGGGTTTTGTAAGATTTTTGTAAATTGTAGAGATTTTACATAAAGAATACTTTAATATTAGATGAAATATCAAATAAAATTTGGATTTAATTGAGATTAAAATTTTCACTTCTTATATATCTGTCGCACTAAAGGCACTTCATCCACCTTATCCCCCATCTTCTTTTACAAACGGAACATTTCTCGAATCTTTACGTCAAGAGCTTTTTCCTTGACCTGACGTTCAGTGTACAAAGATGGTTATACATACTGATGTCGATGTAATTTCATAATACTATAGTATTTAAATCTAGTTTGTGTGGAACTGTATAACATAGAGTTTCTAATTACCAGGTCACGATCTCATAAACATGTCATATAAATGCTACTTACCAGGTATCGAATCCATGTCTCTCAAAATTCAAAAGATGCTTGTAAAATCAACTGCTTTTCCAAATACTTTTGCAAAAGTAAATCAAACGTGAGTCAAGTAGATTGCATGTTTTTTTTTCAAATGTTTTATAGCAAATCAGCAGTAAACATGCTAAATAGCGTAATAACTGTCAAAATATATAAGTTCTGTTTATCGATAGAATTTTGAAAAGTAGGTCAAGGTCAAGCTCAAGGTTCACAAGGTCGGTAACTATCAAAGTTTCATAATTTTCAATTATATACAGTTTCCAGTGTTGTTCATAAACTGTAAATAAATAAAACCAAATTTCAGTAAAAGGTATCAACCCTTATATCCATTGTAAACTCGGTTAATTAAACAGCTTTTAAATTAAAACTAAATGATGATTTGTTCAGCAGCATTGAAGAGAAAGTTAACAGGATAGCATTTTAAAGATGAGAATATAGATTTTAAAAAGTTAAAAATACAATCTCTTTTTTAAAGAATTTTTTTAAGATTACGATTCTTTTTTTATACCATTGAATATCTAAAAAAATATAATACAAGTTGCCCCTTTTATATGTTTTAAAAAGGAATTGCTGTTATCGGTACATATACAAATTATGCAGTACAAATACATTTAGCGTAGAAGCTAGTTAGAATAACCTAATTGTGTCTTGGGACAAGACCGGGTCCGTAGGACAGTTATCTTTTAACAATAGATCATTCTATTTACAGCTAAGCAAGCGCAAATTAGGATGTGTCAAATAATTGCTAAGATTTCGTTCCGGTAGAGTATTCATTTATAACACAAACAGCTCACCATAGGAAAATTAAGATAAACACTACCACCAGGTACTAAGTTGTACTTTCTGTACAAAGTAAAACTAAGTTTCAGGTTTAGATCCAAAGACCAAGAACTGTAGGTAAACAGCAAGTTAAGGTAGCATTTAAGATCACAACAACATTGGATGCAATCCTGAAAGTAACAAATGGAGAATTGGACATAATTTCACCACAGAGCCTGAGGTAAGTTAGCGTCGCTGGAAAGTGACATATTTCGCAAAGAAATTTTTGCGTGAGGTGCGATGTTTGACTCATTAAGTCTCATTAAATTTTTCTATTTTTATTAAAATTTTATATCAGTTTCAGGAATGTGTAAGTTAACTACTTAAAATTCGAGACGTAGCACAGATAAAACATTACAGTAGGAAGTATGGAAACTATTTTGTGCAAATTTCAACTGAGTCTTGTTGCATTGGAATTTTAAAAATCCTGAACCTAATCCCCATTGTCTATAATGTTTGCATTGGTTAATTTATCTCTTATAGTTATTCGCCGCAAATATTTTTAAATAAGATAAAGATACATTTGAGCATCCAACAAAGATTTTCTATTTATGTACTAGACAGGTTTTACCTAGCTATGGCGGACAACTTAACACGACTACGGAATTAAAAAAAAAGCTTTTAATGCCCAGAATATGTTACTACAGGTTTAATATAAAGATGGAAGAAAATTGATTTTTTTTTTATAGAACATATGACTTATATAGTTGAATTCATTAAAACATGAAATAGTAGCTAGCATATTCAAACTTGTTGATTAAACAGCGTAAACAAAAATGATAAAGGTCATTTGAAACTAGGGCGCCAATGTAAAACCCGGCCCCGTGATCTGGAAAAAAATGAAGTGGATCTAATATCTATGAAATAAACACACACATAAACAAACGCCCACAGATCTTGAGAGTAATACATGTAAATGTAGCGGAATGTATTCTTTTAAAACGAATCAATTACCCCATATCCGTTTTGAATAAAACACCTACATTTACAGGTGTAAAACTGAGGTCATCGAAATATTTCTCCTACAAAGATATGGGTCTTTCAGTAAGATGTCAACCCTTACGGATTAAAGACGTTTTAAATTAAAGTTATATTTAACTGTGGGAGAAAAAAGAGAGTTCTAAAATATTTCTCATTTTTTCAGCCACTCTCCTTTTTCTGATGGCGATGGATACAAAACGTGTTGTTGTTGGAGTTGATGTTGGTGGAACTAACACGGATGCAGTCATCCTGGACATTGATGCCAATCCCTTTAGAGTGTTGACGTCATTTAAAACACAAACCACTCATGACGTGACTTCCGGTGTAAAGAATGTCGTGATTTCTGTCATCAATAAAGGTTTGGAGATATCGCCGATAGCCATTACACAAATTAACATAGGAACCACTCACTTTGTGAATGCAGTCGTACAAAGAAAAGGCCTCGTTAGAGTGGGTGTCATTCGTCTTTGCGGACCGGCATCTCGCAACATTCCACCCTTTTCCGACATCCCTGAAGATTTGAGAAAAATTATCCATGGAGGAGTCTGTTTAGCAAATGGAGGATACGAATTCGATGGTAGAGAAATAACACCAGTACATAAAAACGAAATAATTGACTTTTTGAAGAGAATGGTTTCAATTGGTGTCAGGAATATTGTTGTAGCTGGGATATTTTCACCTGTTTGTATCGATCAGGAAAACATGATTTATACGTTAATAAAAGACTATGATCCCAAAATAAGTGTTACATTGTCACATCACATTGGACAAATTGGGCTTTTGCAGAGAGAAAATGCAGCAATACTCAACGAATCTTTAAAACCTCTGTGCAAAGAAACTGTAGAGAGGTTTAACATCGCAATATCAGAAATAGGGATATCATGTCCTTTTTTTCTTACCGAAAATGATGGTACCATTATAGAAAAGTCAACGGCGATGGACTTTCCTATCATCACGTTTTCCTGTGGACCCACAAACAGCATGAGAGGCGCGGCTTTTCTGTCAGGGCTTGAAGATGCAATAGTGGTTGACATTGGGGGAACCACTACAGACGTAGGACTCATAACAAAAGGTTTTCCAAAACTTTCATCATCTGAGATTAGAATTGGAGGAATAAGAACTAACTTTCACATGCCTGATGTTAGAAGCATAGGTCTTGGAGGTGGATCTTACGTGCGACAAGAAGGCGAAGACGTTGTAGTGGGACCAGAGAGTGCTGGGTATAGAATATTAGAAGAAAGTTTAGTTTTTGCAAATCAGGATGACATTGGTGACAAGAGGATAACTGCAACAGACATTTCGGTTGCAGCAAACATTTCAATGGTAGGAACACCCGGAAATGTCAAACATCTACAAAAGAAATTCATTGAAAAATCGGTCGAAGTGATAAAGAGAAAATTAGAAGATTGTATCGATGAAACAAAAGTCACACCCGATGATTTTCCAGTGATTCTTGTTGGGGGTGGTCACATACTCGTAGATAAAAAACAGAAGATGACAGGTGTTAGTGAAATCATAGTTCCCGAAAATTCTGAGGTTGCAAACGCTGTCGGTGCAGCTCTTTCCCAAGTAGCTGGAAATGTGGAATATGTCAAGAGTTTAGATGATCACGTAAACAAAGTGGAAAAAGAAAGGTTGATGCTAGAAGCATTAAAGAACAGCACGACGAGTGAAGAAATGGAACGTGTGGAAATGGATATAAAGAAAAGGCTTTATGAAGAAGCGCACAAAAACCTATTAGAAGAAGCTCGTAAGCTTGCAATTGCTAAAGCTATAGAAAATGGAGCTGAGGAAAAATCCATATTTGTGTTACAGGAAGGAGATATTCCGTTATCTTATCTTCCCGGAAATGCTTCTAAATTTTTTGTGAAAACTATTGGTAATATAGATTTGAAGAGTCGTCCAGCAAGTCTTGTTCAAAGGAAACTTGAGCAAAGTATCATGTCAACTAGCAAGGAGGAATATCCTCAAGGCAATAAAGAACCGCATTCTAGTACAAGAAAGGATGAAAACAAAATCAGAGATGCAGAGACTCCATTTGTTAACACAGCTGGGGAATGGATTTTGACTGAGTTTGATGTGGAATGCATAACTATTGGAGCAGGAATTCTGGGATCTGGCGGTGGTGGCTCGCCATACATAGGAAAACTAAGGGCTCTGAATTCCCTCAGGGAAGGAAAACAAATCAAAATAGTCAATCCAGTGAAGATCATGGAAAAAGCTGATGATAAGAATGATCTGGTTGTAATTGTAGCATGTATGGGAGCACCACTTATTTCAGAGGAAAAGCTTTTTGGCAGAGAAAGCCAGTATGCATTAAAATGTATGGCAGATTTGTATTCTCATGGATATTGTAATGGAGAACTCCCAGGGGGCATTGATGTTATAAAAGAAGAACACATAACCTACATTGATGATTTTAAGTCCAACGAAAAGAATGAAACTCTCTCAAAGTATATGGGCCATAAGAAGATTATTGGTGTGATGAGTGCAGAAATAGGAGGCATGAATTCTGTGGAACCGTTTACTGTTGCTGCGGAAATGAATCTGCCGGTTTTAGATTGTGATGGTATGGGGAGGGCTTTTCCAGAGCTCCAAATGTTTACTCCCCTGATATATGGAATGCTACCATATCCGTCAACATTGGCAGATGCAAAAGGGAGAAGAGCTGTAGTTTTAAAAGCTAATACTGCTAAAGATTTGGAAAATCATTTCCGAAAAGTAGTTGTTGAAATGGGTTGCATGGCAGGAGTTGTAATATCAAGCTTGCAAAAAGATGATGTATTGGAGAAAACTGTCCTGTTTACAACTAGTCTTGCTTGGAAAATCGGAAGGGCAGTAATTAATGCCAGAAATAAGAAGCAATCTACAACAGACGCAGTTCTGGGAGTGACCGGAGGAAATGTATTAATTTGTGGTAAAATAGTTGGCGTAAAGAGAGAGACAACCGGCGGATTTAATGTTGGACATGTCACCATAACATCAGTTAACAGCGACATTATCCTGAAAGTGGAATTTCAGAACGAAAATCTGGTCGCCATCTCAACGTCAACTGGAAAGGAAGTAGTGGTAGCTACTGTCCCTGACCTAATCACCATTGTTGACACAGACACCGGGGAGCCCATACCAACAGAGGCGGTTCGCTATGGACTTCGTGTAACTGTACTGGTTTTGCCAGCTCATGAGAAGTTGAGGACAGAAGAAGCACTTAAATTTGTGGGCCCAAAAGCTTTTGGATACCATTCTCTCACTTACACACCTTGTTGTAATTCTGTAAGCCCGAATTCTGTGATTTAAAATTCTATGATCTGTCAAATAATACGTGTATTAATATAAAAGAAATGATACGTGGCTGGTTAGATTGTTTGTATTTGCACTGAATTTAAAAGTTGAATTAATTTATGACTATTACTCATCAGTATACATGACTCAAGGGCATTTTGTATATATTGAATACACATTAAAATTCACTTTCTTGTTTATATTTCGTTCTTTTTTTAACAATTACTCCCCTAAATAAAGACGCCTTCATGTTTTATGTTCAAAATACTAGTAATCAAAGCAAGTTGATACTAGTTTTGCATAATTGCTTTTAAGAAACAGGGAGAGACTAAACATTGTACATTTTGTTAATGCATGTTGCAAATGGATCGTTCGGAAATATGTAAAGAACTTAAATAGAACAATGAAATGAAGACACATCACAGAATGTATTTATAAACATAAGACCCTTTTGACGCATGTGAGTTTGATAACTATCATACACAAAAGTTCAAATAATCTGAATGTACTATAATTACAATTCTTCTCGTGGTATCATTTTTCAAAGGGATAAAAAGAATACGATACTGACAGAAAATTTGTGTTAATATTTTCAAAAATCCTGCAAGGCATATATTTTACTCAGCATTTTTGAAATTCTCGATATTAAATTTATTTTAAATTAAATGATAGGTTTCCTACAGTTAAGAAATACATGGAATTAAACACACATGTACATGCAAATTTTTCAAAAGCTTTGTCACTGCCTTTAAGAACACAACATTGCATTGTCAACCTTCCACTACATTATGTCAACATGTTATGACACACACACTACTATTGCATTGTGTCAACCTTCCATTACATTATTCAACTCTTTATGATATTAACCCACACTACTATTGCATTTATGTCAACCTTCCATTATATTATGTCAGCTCTTTATGACATTAACCCACACTACTATTGCATTATGTCAACCTTTCATTATATTATGTCAGCTCTTTTGACATTTTTTAAAAACGTGTCAACCTTCCTTTACATTAATCAACTCTTTATGACATTAACCCACATTATTGCAATATTTTTCCATTACATTATGTCAATATTTATGACATTAACCCACAGATTATTGCATTATGGAACCGTCATTACATTATGTGAACTATTTATGACATTAATTACAATGACTATTGCATTATGTACCTTCCATTACATTATGTCAACTATTTATGGAATTAACCCACACACACATTGTGTCAACCATCCATTAATTATGTTAACTATTTATGACATTAACCCACACTACCCTTGCATCGTGTCAACTGTTCCTTTACATTAAGTCAACACTTTATGAGATTTACACATACTACAATTATATTTTGTCTTTTGCTTTATGTTTACTGAAAGACATGTCATTAAACAATAATTACATTGTGTCAACCGTTCATTACATTACGTCAATTCTTTATGATATTATGTGAAAAGCTCAATCGAGATACTGAGGCACTCTTCTACATTATGTCGATTCACTATTACGTTATGCAAAACACGTGTATCCTCATTTATATGAACATAACGTATTTTCCGCGTTCCGAAAAGAACTAAAATTCGGGAAGAAAACTGTCCTAGAAGAAATTGTGCGAATTTGGAATGGCATCTTTAATAAAAACTTTAAAGAAAAATTGTAATACCTTGAAACGTGCAAAGCCTTAAAGGTACACTGTGCATTAAAGTCATCGAAATTCAATGGCGTTTACTTTAATCTGAAAACAAATAGGATTAGAAATTTTTTTCTTTTTCCAGTTTTGTTTTTGTTTTGATAAAAGTCTTAAACTTCTGATCTTACAAGAACATGTCATAAGATTTTTAGATTTCTTGTTTTTAAAAGTGTAAGCACATAGTATAACACACGTATGGTGGGTTGGGTAGGAAGGCAGACATGACCATCTGAATGTAAGTGACCAAAATATACATAAAATTAATAAATTTATTGTTTATACTTTGTAGCACATTGCATTAATTTCACATTAAATTTAGCTGAATTAAGTTGAAAACTTTTTCTATAAAACTATTAAATAAAGCCTGAGAGCTTCTCTGCTTTCCTCCAAACAAACATTTAAAATGAAGCAAATTGAAAGTGTTGGGAGGGGGGGGGGGGAAGTATAAGAATTTTTTTTATATACCTTCATAAAAAACCTGACAAGCAAAAAAACAAAATATATAAGCACTAGCAATTTTTTTGATACCACTTTCCACATTATTTTTAACCTAAACTACAACGTGTCTGTGGAAAGTGGGGTGGGCTTAACCTACGCAGCGATGTTCAATGCACTAATTCAAAAGGCGACGCCTATGCCAACCAATACCGTCCCCCTTCTTGTTAAAATTCCAAAATATGCCTCATGCATCTTACAAAAATTTAAGGCATATTCAATTGATTTAGATGAAGAACTGGTAGATTTTTGTAAATAGAATTTGGCCCTGGAATGATTTAAAGAAAATTTTTAACTCCAGTGACGTAGCATGGTTGAAAAAATTTCTAATTCCAGTGACAAAGCATCATTTTTTTAAAAGAACACAGAAAAAAAAAATTAATTTGCCCGAAAAAACTTGACAAGCTAAAAAAAATTGTCCAGATCGATACATATTTCAGGGGTGAGGCAAACTTTGATAAAAGTCCTAATTTTTATTTTCAGATACTGTATACCACATGTGCCCTCAGTGGACTATACTTCAACAAAAAATGGGGGTAGGGCTGTACTTTCAATGAACATTACTTTTTCTCTAGTAAAGTTATGTCTGGGAAAAGAAGGGGGGCTGTTATAATAATCATGCAAGATTTAACAATCTGTAAAACATTCATTATATATTGATTACAACTAGTGACAATAATGTAAATGTATTTTTACATCAGGTAATGCACTTTTGTAATCCATGATAAAGATTTAACACAATATAAAGCTATAGATCACATAAGAAAGAGTTGACATAACGTTATAATATATCCAACATCAGTATGGAGTTTTGACATAATGTAATAAAGTGTTGATATAATTAAAGATATGTTCACATTTGTTATACACTTTTACAAAATGCACTGACATGAAGGTAAGATTGTTCACCTCACAAATTAAATGATAAGTCCAATCACGTAATAATGCTTTGATATAATAAAAATATACACTTCAAAAAAATGGATTTTTGACTTCATGTAATGCCATAAGTTTAATTATAAAACACAATTTCTTGACGTATGCAATTTTGAGGTCACATATATAAAGAAATGAAATGATGAAAAGAAACTTCATTTCACGTATTAATAAAGTTTTTCAATGTAAACACAAATACTTCACATAATTAATTTTTTACTTCAAGTTATGAAGTGCTGGCATAATGAAAGGATGTATTTACTTTATGTAATAGCATTGGCATGAGGTTAAAAATCAACATCTATAAAAAATTGACATAATGTAAAGATACATTCACATCACGTTATGATAAATTGACGTAATAAATGCATAGTTGTATGCTATAAGGCAGTGATGGCAGTTCCATAAAAATAATCAAACAATTTCACCAAAGACATGGCAATACTTTTAATAGATTCTGTTCTTTATGAAAGAATCACAAAAGTATTTACAGTCGACAAAATGACACAAAATGAAACAAGTAGAGGCAAATTTTTACAAAAAAAGTTTTCTTATTTATCTATAGCTGAAAATTTCCAATGCAAAAGTCAATCCTGTTGTGCGAGTGGGGAAAACAGTGAAAGAAAAACTGTAATATCTAAACTAAATCAGATGTGTACATATTTGGTACCTTACATGTAGGATTCTTTTGAATTTCTTGATTTTGTATATACTGAGGTAGCTTTTTGTGTGCAATTAGCCTACCACGGTTGTCGTAGGTCATCTATCGTAATACTGATAAAAACGGACAATTTTCTTTTTAGTGTTTTGGTTAAAATCAACAACCAAACACATTTAAAATATGATATATTCATCCTTCTTAGAATCACCATAATATCATAACAAAATATATAAGCATACTGGGAAAAGAATTTGACAAATTCAAAAGGAGCCGCAGTATCTGTATAAAATTCCAAAATATAAACACCTTGCAAATCAAATTTTACATTATTAATGAATTTTATTAGAAAGATCTTTTTATTCATTGTAAACAAGCAAATATAGTTAGACGTCTTAAAGATCAGTAATACAGAAGTGGCGAAGTAATACGTAATAAGTACCTGAGTTATGTTGTTCTTTAGTTCTTTTTATAAAGCTCTAAAATCGCAAGATTTCTGGGGCACATGACATTGTTTACAGTAGTGACAATCGAATGATTCGAACGAAAATGCCGAAAGTAGATGTATTCAGAAAGGATTGAACTCCAACTAGTAGATTGTCAAATAAGGAAAGTTTGAATATTTTATCAGCTTTATTGTCAATTTTCAATGAAAATTAAATGAGAAATTGAGTGAAAAATATCGTTAAAAATGCGTCCGCCATATTCATCGAATTCTTCTATATCTGAGGTTCATATAAAGCGACTGACTTAGTCATCAGTGTAATAAAACGGGTGTAGGCGGACGTATGCTATACAGCACTCGATAGCGATAAAAATTAACTGTATATTTCTTCTAATGCAGGGAAGTAACAAACCAAAGAAACTTAAAATCCTTCAACTCAGTGCAATACAAAAATAATTTCACGTAACTGGAGAGATCTAAACAAAGGTAATTTAACCAGCACGATGGGTCGCATGGATCGCGTGACAATTTCAGGCCGATACCCGTGACAAGCAGTCAGGTGTAACGAATGCGAAGACTATACCCTGCTGCTGATATCGTAGATAAGAATATAAAATGGTGTGCATGTTATACATTTTTATACATTTGTACATTGAAGAAAGACTAGAGCATCTTGTTTTGCCTTAAACGCGACATTTAAGAAATGAATTAATTTTTTGAAGATTCATGAGGTTATGAACTACGACGTTTCACGCCGGCATATTTCATGAAGCACGTTAGCGCTTCATGATAAATATGCCGGCGTGAAGCGTTGTAGTTCATATACCTCATGAATCTTCAAAAATTTAATTCATTTCTTATATTTACATTATTTCTCGGATGACTTGCCATAAATTTACGACATTCAACCCTC